CCCTGAATACAGCCCTTGTCACACCCTTTGACAGGTTTTCCAGAATGTACTTGGGAACTGCCTCCAGCTCGTCCAGGGACATCTTGTATAGAGGTCTGTAGCCGAGTTCTTCGGGTCGATGGCCTTCGAGCTCGATCTTGTGGTCGCAAGGTCAATGCTCAGGTAGCGTGTTGGAGTTGTATTTGCTGAAGACTTCGATTTCATCGTGGTATTCGGACGGCACTGTCCGGAGAGCTTCTTCGCGGAGCTCTTTTTCGTCGCGGGGAAGCGGTTCCCAAGCGGGGTCATCAATGACTCGTTTCTGTTGGATAAATCGGTCGATCTCAAAGATGCTCGTCGAGTAGGTCGTCCGGTTCTTCTTGACGGAACGCATGAAGAGGTCGCCCTTTAGCACACACATCTGAGTAGAACGATAATTGTACCATCTCGTACCGTCCCGCTTCAACTGGTAGGTACCTTGGGTATCCGACCCCCATTTGCCATCAGCGGGCTGTTCTCGGTAACGGGGACGCGGCTTGGGTTCTGAAGACAACACCATAAGGTGGGTGAGGTTAGCCAAGTTCCGTTCCATTTTGCTCAAAGGATCAGTCTTCTTGAGAATCGCGGTGGGGTTCTGAAGAAGATAACGCGGTCGGGCATAGACCCAGCTCTCCGGTATCCTCATCTTGGGTGTACTGGAGATCCGCTGGGGTGATGGGGACCGTCCGGGGTTTAGAGTCGGACGCGACTTCAAGCTCCAGAATCCGTTTCTCAATTTCTTTCTGTATTGTCGAGCCTCGCGGCGATATTGGTCGCGAGCTTCAAGGTCGGCTTCTTGCGGTAGTCAGGAAAGGGTTGGTCCGCTAGGATAGGATCTGTAAAGGTGCAACCGCTTGTAAGGCGTAGCGCCGTGCGGCCGCCATTCCTGCCATCCGCTCGCCGTTTGTCTTCTCGAGCCATCAACGAGTCCCGGTGTTCTACGTCTTTCTGGTGAGCGGGGTTGACGGTGGTCGAGGAGTCTTGGATCTCGAGGTGTCTCAGCCAGTCGGGGTCCGGTTTCCATTCCGAAGGAAAAAGTAGACGGCGTTTCGCACAATCTACCCAAATATCATGAAGGTCGAGCCATTTCCGGGCAATGATAATGTCGTGCGTCATATTGACTACAATAAAGCAATCAGGTGGCGTAGTACGGTTCTGAATATTCAAGGCGGCTTTAATGACTTCTTTAATGCTTTGATTCGTTTTTCCTTGGTAGTCGCTGATTCTTCGAGCTGGGAAGTCGCTCGTGGATCCCACCAGCAGTCGTTTTTTCAGTTTCTCGGCAAAGGTGGTACTGATGAACAAATTACTGTTTGCTCCTGTGTCAATTAAGGCATCAGAGGTGGATAAAGACATTCCATTATTGACTAAGGCACATTGAATGAGTAAGGGTTCTCCTCCCAGAAAGGGTATCAAAGTGAATCCTTCTCCGTGTTTCTTTCTATCCTTTTTCTGTTGTTCTGCAACCGACACCTCCCCTGGGAAGGAGTCTAGTTCACCCAGGGTAATTAGTTTCCATGTTCGTTGGTGGCTGGAGCCTCCTGTCTGTTGTCGTGGGCTAGGTGACGGTCAACAATGGCGGCAACGCGTTCGCGACGTTCACGGTCGAATCGTTCCTTCTCGGAACAATCACGCTTGGTGTGACCCCTTTCTTTGCAAAGGAAGCATCTTCCCTCGTTGAACAGTCGGGTAGTCTCTTCGTGACGGTCGCTGGTCTGACGAGTGGAGCCACCGCCACTACTGGCCGCGGTAGGCTTGGAGGCGGAGTTGGAGTTAGAACCGGGGTTTCTATTACCTTCTCCCTTGTTGCCCTTCCCTAACTTGGAAACGGCCTTGTTCTCTTCTGCGATGATCTTGAGCACTTGGCCAAAACCGGAGCAGTCGTTGCAGTAAGATTCAAGGGAGATAGAAGAGTCGCAATGCTTAGCGCCCATCTGTTTTTGTACTCAACCGGAAGCGTTGGGAAAGCTCGCGCTTCCACTGAGTTTTGGGACGTTGGCACTCGCCAGACATCCGAACAAACTTGTTCTTAAAGAAGTCGAAGTTGTTGTTATTCCCCATCTTTAACTTTGTGAAGTTCTGGAGGGCGTTCTCCTCCTGGTTGGGATCGTGATACTGGCGCCACAGATGGGTCATCAGGTCGGAGTAGGTCTTGATCTGGTTCGGGTGGGTTTTGCGTAGGTATGGCATCAAATCCCGGTAAGCACAGCCGGCCAGACGGCTCTTGACGTATAGAAATTTATCGCGGTCGGTGGGATAGTGATCAGCGTTGATCTCGAGTTTGTCTTGAATCAAGTCGTACCAGGCCTCAAAAGGGACATCGTCTTCCTTGTCCTAATTGTGATACCTGGCAGGGTCAGCTTGCTTGATGCTACGGTGGTGGGAGCTAGAGCGCTCTCCGTCATCGGGGTCGATCTCGGGGGGTAAGGTCGAGAAGCAGGTAGAAATCCGAAGGGGAGCCTCGCTGGCGTCCCGCTCAATGCTGGGGAGCACCGTTTCCTTGGCCTTTATCTTATTCTCGTTCCTGGTCACCCCTTTGCCGATACTCAGGTCAGCAATGAGATCTTTCAGGCCCTCAATAATCTTGTCCTTCTCGACAAGAGAGTCCTTCAGCTGTTGGACCATCGCGGGGTCAGTGTCGGGGCCGGGCTTCTCCTGGTCGTACTCGTCGGCCAGAGCAGGGACCCAATCGTGAACGGTTTTCAGCTTATCGTTGAGGAAGGAGACGAGACGGTGCAATCCAGACACCTGCTCGGCGCGAGCCATGCTAATAATTGACAGCAACTTGAACTCCTGGAACATGGCCTGGGGATCCCTATTGCACAACTCGGTAAATTTGTCTTCGTTCAAATAGTCGGAGACGGGGATATTCGATGAGGGTAAAAGAGATTGGTAGGAGACGCAGGGAACAGAGTTGCGAATGAATAATTCCGTGAACTCTTCCATCTTTTGTTTTAAATCGAGGATAAGAACCTTCCGGGCCAAGCGGACGTCGAAGGTCTTTGGGTCCTCCACAATCTGGGTGATGTATTCCGTGAACAGTTCGAAGGACAACTCTGGGTCTTCGTCGTCAGTGTTCTTGGCTATAGCATCGGCCAACGCCTCCTTGGGGGATTTGAGCTGGTGATGCATGTGGTACAGAGACTTCTTGCGAAGGAGAGTGGACTTGCCGCGGGAACGTTCCTCATCCGGACAAAGGGCATTGTAGCGATCTTCGTTGAAACGGACTGCGGCGCGCGCGTTCTCCTTGATGAAGGGATCAATGGGCTTGCGCTTATCGACAGGCTTCTTGTCGTTGATGGCGACCTTCTTCTTGGGCTTCGGCTTCTCTGCCGTATCCTCCTCTTGCTCAGGGTCAGGATCGGAAGAGCCAGAGCCTCCTTTTCCGTCGCCATCTCCGCCTTCTTTATCGAAGAAGGCCTCATCTTGATCGTCGTCGGACGCTTCCTCGTGACGATTGTCGTGGTTTTCGGCCTGCTCGGTGCCCTCACGGCTACTGGCGCTGTTACGTGTCAGGCGGGGTGCCATTGTGTTGTCGTAGATACTCGATGCCTTGTGTTCTTCCGACAGATCTTTCTGGTTTCGGGTGGGATTTAACCTTCCCAGGTGGTTGTTGGGTTGATCTGAAATAATGCAAGGGCCCAGTATGGGAGAGTCGAAGGCAAAGCTAAGATTCCATCTATGACAGAAGATTTCAGATGGGGAGAAGAAAAAAAGGAAGAGAACTAGATATAAGCGTGCAAACCCAAATAAAAATACCCTGGTCGCACGAGCGATAGCGGGACCCATATGTGGGTCGCTGGCTGCCAGCGCCGTCACAGAGATGGAAGGTAGAATGGGCGTTTCACTGACTCCCTTAGGCTCTATCCAGCTAGCTCCGCCTAAGGGACTACTATTTTAATACTATTGCCCTAGTGCGTAAGCGCTAGCAGGTATAGTAGTTACGCCGATTAGGCGTGACCTTATTAAATTTATAATAATTACGTATTACTTAATTGATTGAGATAGTGCCTCCGCTTTTGACTGCAGTGTCGTCTACAAGTAGGCTTGTCGGCTCTGGCAGGGTATTTTTATTGTTCGGAGAGTGAAGTTGCGAGTTGCCTTGAAGTCGGGGACCCGTCGCCTTGCCATATTACAACAGCCGCCATGGCCGGCAAGGGCCCAAGAGCCTCAATGAGGTCATGAAGGTGCTAAGCAACGCTTCGCAGCCATGAGGACACTTCCCTCCACACAATCACCATTCGATCCTAGAATTATCATGACCTGAGTCAAGTATCTCATTGGACCTGGGGCTCATTCAGGCATTTTTATGATAGTGTAACGACCCGTTCAATGGTGCTGATGTTAAGTGTCTCTGGACTCGGAGGCTCATGCTCTCTCGTTGAAGGGTGCTTGGTTGGGGCAAAGGATCAAGCCGGGATAACTTGGCCTACCTCTAAGGAATGCCGTACAAGGACTGGATACTTTTTTCCTTATCCTTCCTGCCCTCGGTAACCTTGGAAGGGAAAATGGGCTACGGGAGGAGGCAACTCGAAAGTTGAAAGGGCACTTTGTCGCTGCTCTTTTGGGTACTTCGCTGGCAAAACTGGATGTTTCTCTTTTTTCATTACCGATGTGCAAGGCAGTCTGGTTCTCTCAATTTGCGAGAAAGAGAACTCTGGTCTGATCTCGTTAGAAAAGTGTTCCGTCATTGTATTGTGGACTTCTATCCGCGGACTATAAGCAAATGTCTTGGAGAAACGTCCAAATGTCCTTATTTTAATATTTCGAAGAACTAGAGGAGAAATATTCATGTCTCTCCTTAGCAGGAACAGGTGACTCTGAAAATACCTTGCCTACCAGGCCGACACCATCCAGCGTCTCTACAACATGATCTGCCTTAGAATCATGATGTTGATCCAGGGAATCCGGGTCGCGATATTCCTCTGACGCGGAGAACGACCAAACATACGGCTCCGTGCTTTGGCCGGGAGCCAAAGCGCAGCGCTGAAGGTGATGTGTGGTTGGGTCCAGTCGCTATTCCAGAAGTTTCCATCGCTCTTATCTTCGATGTAGCAATGGAAGTGAGATTTTCCTTGATATTCTGAAGGCTTCAACTTCTATGCTATGGTGCTCAAGAAGCTGGAGCGTACATGAATGGGATGGATGCCCCGCTGGACCATATTGTCAGCTCCATGTCCGCATCGTGGCGCCAGATTCAAGACCACCAAGCCAGGGCCAAGTCCTTCCTTCCTATTTGCGGGAATCAACGAGGAAAAAAGAAATGATAAAAGGTAAGAATGCTCCTAGAAGTAGGAGTTTGCTGCTTCCTCGGCTGTCTTGATGGCTGCCTGCATGTGTTGGGCCGTGAACTGGGCCACCTGGCCTCCTCAGCCTCCAACTTGGCCGCCATCTTAGCGTGTCGGGAGACTTGCGCTTCCATGTCAGGTGTTTGTCGAGATGACCTTTGCTGCCCCTGCCGAAGGTTTTGTCGCAAGGCACGCAATGGTGGGTTTTATTCGCCTTATTCTTGGCCGCAAGTTCGCGGGCTGTTAGGGCAACCGCATGAGACGGGTTTTTTGGCGGTGGTGCCGGCGTTGATCTTGAGCTGATCTCGACTTGGTCGAGGTGTGAGACTTCCGGGTCTTGTGAACCCAGCCTCGAGAGCATGGGCCGACGCGAACCGACCTCCTGTCTACAGGTTCATGTTCTCAACTTGGGAACACCTTCCTGCACCACGACTTTTCTGCCTAGCTATTCGCAGAGTCTTAAATGCACCATGGAGGTGATCATGGAGAATGACCCGGTCCTTCCCCTCGGCCGTAGTGAGCTTGGATGCTGTTCATAACAGTCCGCAAAGTCCATGCCAGACACCTATTCCGCTGGGGAGCAGCAGAAAAACAATACAACACGATGTAAAGGCATCTGAGGTTGGCTTGGTGTTGGTTTTGCAATACCATGGAATGGTATCGCTCTTGGCGAGTGTTGTGAGGGGCAATCTGCCTCGGAAATCGGCCGTGGGCAGTTAGCCAGTAACCGCTTGGTATCGGGCACGAATGCTAATGCTGGGTTCGGAACTTGAGATCCTCTTCAAGCGTTCCATCGCCAATCCGGGCATTCTCGCTAGGACGCTTCGTAATGTACTCCAAATAGCGAACTTGCACTTGGCCGGCTTTTCGGCCGTGGCAGACGTCAATGATGAAGTCGCAGATTACCACATGGACCCGCTCGCGGTTTTGCTTGGAGAGGCTCGCCAACAGGATATAATTGCCACCCACGCAGTTGTGGCTTCTCTTAACGCAGACACATACCTGGTCGCCCATAGAGAAGCACAGCGCGCGACAACAGGACCCGGGGCAAAACCACCACCAGCAGGTGGTCTTCAGTCGGAGCCGGCGACAGACTGAAGAAGCAAACTGCCCCCAACTCGGACCTCATAGACGGGGAAGCCGGTGGGGACTCGGAAGGCGAGCCCCCTGTTTTCTCAAGGTTCCTTGCGGTCACGACTTGATCGTGAAAGGCAAGCAGCTGTTTTTCGATGTCAATGCGAACGAGCTGAGTCACAGGGCAGTTTTCGGCATAATATTTGGCAGAGTACGAGTCGGTCCGGATGAACGATGCGAGCTGGGTCTGATGAGGTTGATAAAAGCGGTTGCTGCACATACTCGTCGGGTGTGATGGTAGAGTTGAAGAGACCGTCGAAGGCCTGGGCTTGATGTGGAGGGGGCCGTTGTCCGTTGGTGACTTCTTCAGGAAGACGGTCGCTGATGTCTTTGCGTTGGTGAACTTCGCACTCAATCAATCCTTGACGATTCTAGGGCTACGAGGCAAAGCAAGATGACGGGAAATGGTGGATGATGGCAGAGGCAAAGGCAAAGGCGAAGGCGATGGCGATGAAGTTCGCAAGGAGAGTTCGATGTCCGGGAAAGGCGAGGTGCGTCGACGGAACCTTTCCTGCCCGCCCCGCCCCGTGTTCGATTCTGTTTTCGGTGTCTACGGTAAAACAGATGCACGTCACGGCGGGCTTGCAGCAGTGTTAGGCGATAATTGTTGGTGGGTGTTACATCTGATTGGGTCAAAATCCATCTCAGCCGGTCTTGTTGCTCTTCCCTCCGCTCCCGAGAACGAACACTTCACTTTCCACTTTACCAAGTCCAAGCTCATACCATAGACATTCCAAGAGAGACACAAGGAAATGTGTGGTAAGTAATATGTATTTGATGCAAAGTATGTACAAGCAGATGCAAATGCTGGCTAGGTAATGTAAAGTCCCCTATCTCCCCTCTCTTACAGTCCCTCTCTCTTTCATCCTCCGCTCTCCAGGACCATCTTCATGCCACAGACCAGGACGCCACGGCAGCACCACCTATCCCCATCCCTTCCACACTTCCTTTTCCTTCTCCAGTCGTTCCCCATCCATCCATCTTCTCACTCCCCCAAATCCCATTCCACGCTTAGAGGCACTGGCTATACCAATCATTAACCTTAGTGCAAACACTTCCACTAACACAAGTAGTAGGACCCGTCCAGCCATTCCCTCCACACTGTCCATACTTCTGCGCCGCACCACCACCACCACCAGTCGCCGGAGGAGCAGTAGTAGTCACCTGCGCATCTGACGTAGTAGCCTTGGTGCTAGTAACCAGCGTAGTCGTCGCCTTAGTCGTAGTAGCTCCCGCAGCAGTAGTAGTAACAGGGCTACCACCCGATCCACCACCACCAGGCACCGTCGCGCTCGCGGTAGCCGTAGCCGCGGAGCTGCTCTGCGGGATGGAGCTCACGGCGCCGGCAATCAGCGCGGGGCCAGGGACGGGGTAAGTGAAGTCGTTCTGGTACATATTGAACAGGATACCGGCGTCGGTAGCCTTGTAAAGCTGGGTACCGGGACTCCCGAAGGGAGGTTATTGCCGGAGCCTTCAACCTTGAGGTTGAAGCACTGGGGATAAGCCTGGGCGCCGTTGGCGGAGCCAGCGCCGTGGAGTGCGATGATTTCGTGGCGGAGGACGTAGTTACCGGGCTTGAGGTCGGCGGGGATCTGGACGAGCCACGAGTTGCCGTTGTTGACTAGGGCGTCGGCGGCCCAAACGCCGTTGTTGTAGCCTGCGCCGTCGATCTTGAAGAAGCGCAGGGAAGTCTTGTCGACGGTCTCGCAGTCGCCGTTGCAGGCGGCCAGGTAGTCAATCACGGGACCCTTGTGCGAGTCGGGCCAGACGGGGTCCCACTTGAGAGAGATCTTGTCGCCGGCCTTGACGGTGGCGTGGCCGCCGGCGGGCGTGGCGGAGCGGTGGCAGATGATGTCCGGGGTGCCGAAGGCGTCGGGGGAGACGAAGCCGTTGTCCTTTTGGTCGGCCGTCCAGCCGATCACGGTGGGAGGGTTGGAGAGGTAGGGGAAGACGGCGGGGTCGTAGTTTTGGTACTCGACGCCGTTGACGATGACCTTGGAGACGTGGCCGTGGGCGGCGACGAGGGAGGCGCCAGCCAGCGCGGTGATGATGCTCTTGCGGGCCATTTTGGATGTGAAAGTGATGATGCTAGATGTGAGAAGAAGAGTGAGGATGCTGGAGATTCAGATGATAAAGTCTGATGTCTTCTTTTTCTTTCTCTTGATGACCTGGATCGACGCTCATCTTTATATCACTTGAGTGGGTGTCTAACACGGCCCCGCCTACACTAACGGGTCTTCATCCATGGTATCGGCGCTTGCAGTTTACGATTAAGGATGCCATCCCGGTGTTACCGCAACATCAAAGTCGCCGCAACGCGTGGAGAAGTGGATCAGAGTGCATCCTGTCATTAGACATGTGATGAGCAGGACTGGAGGCCAAGGGGAAAGTGCAAGCGCTTTTGGACAGCCACCACGTTTGAAGATTGGTAAGGTTCTTGGAAGTGGATGGGAATACCTTCGGGTGTGGATCGTCAGGGGCAGCTTTGTGTGTGCGGAAACTTCCAGCATTGGTGGAAAGGCAGGAGTTCAAGAGGGAACATCGGGTAGCGTTCCGTCTGAGGCTCTGAGTGAACCGGGTTAAGGGTGAGTGCTGAGTACCGGGACAATCGAGGGTGAACGGAGCCGAGTCCGGTTTTCTTGAAACCGCGTAAACTCTGCGTAGCATTTGTGTATTCAGCCGAACAGACCATGAATGACTTTTGGTTTGGCCATACTGGTCACGAATCATGGTAATGCGGCGCTTGAACATTTCTCTGACTTTCTTCATACTCGTACCCATACCCCGCCGCAGCCATATTTCTTGATACCAATATTAAGGCCCCAAATCCCGAGTGTCCCAAGACCTTTTCTCAACTCGGAACCCGAAGAACATGCCAAGACGATAGAGACGCCCACGACGATGCCTCTATTCCCAATTTAGCATTCGGAGGCTCTTCTTCCCCTGGACAGGGATCTATGCAGAGGGTTGCTCCTCACGTTTTATGGGGGGATGTAACGCTACGGTTGACCAGTTTCGAGCCAGTAGATCCAAAAAGGGAAACGCTCAGACCGGACTTGGTGGTGATAGTGGGTCCCACCAAGTCTTGGTGTTTTGCACGACGACGGACGACGGACGACGGACGACCGGGCACAACATCCAGAACGGCGACTACGGTCGTTCATGTTCCGTGGTATTGAAAACAGGTCAAGTTCGGTTGAAGGCCAGTCGAGGCGAAAGTGTGTCTGCAATGCAAGTTTAGGCGATGGCGTCGTCGACCAGGAATTCCTGCTGCGGAAAGATGAAGCCGCCATGTCTTGTCCTCATGCCATACAGTATGTTCCAGGTTCCGCCACCCAGGCTCCCGGAGTCAGAGTAATATCGCGACCGCTGAGCAATACCGGCGTGCATATGCGAGGAGCGGTACGGTAGTGCAGGTATGTACGATGATGCCCCTGATAGAGTTGTAAGCCCAAAACGAGTTTGTTCAGGTCGAGAATCATCAATAGCCCGCCAAATCCTGCCCCTGGCGAGAAGACCAAAATTGTTCAAGCGCCCGTTTGGCACCACGGCTTCGCGCCCGAATCTCAATGCCAAGATTATAAGAAGCTGGGGCAGACACGCAAAAGCACCTGAAAGGGGAAGGCATTCCCGATGCTACCCCAGGATTGAGACGTACGTCATCCACCCTTTCTTAACCACATGATGGTTTGTGCAGCCATCGATCGTGGGGAAAGCGTTTTGATCTTTTGGTCTGGACCTTTGGTTGCATCGAGCTGAGAGCTGGTGCTAGGAGAAGCTGGAGTCAAAGGCCGTACACCAAGACGGATCAAAGGCTGAAGATTCCGACGCTATTTCTTTGGTGATTGGAATGGTGATGGCATCTTCTGGGGAACGCCGAAAACTGTGTTCGTCTTGAACTGGTCACATCTCGAGACGTCTTTTCTTCCGTCAAGTGAAGGCATCTTCGCATTCGTATCATCAGAGCCCAAGGGCCTTCTTTAAAGATGTTCATTGCCTCCTTGATGCTTCCTGTCTAAAACGATTCTCTACCGAAAACCAAAATGATAATGCAAAATCCCAGAGATAGCCAATGTCTAGCGTTGCAGCAAGGCTACAATGATCGTTCAAGCACCTGGTCGTCAACTTATTCTGCCGGCGAGGCAAATAACAAGGCTGCCACCAGGCTTACACACGCCCAAACACCCAAATATCTACCCTGCCTCACTCACTCCTATCCTCCATATCCTCGCTCTTCACCCTCCGGTACCTTTTCCCTCTCTGAAGCCAATATCTTTTCGCCGACCAACCCAGCACTCCTGCCAAAGCCCCCAACACCAGCAAGAACAAACCCAAGTGATCACCAATCTCCAAAAACAACCGATTATCCCACCCATTCCACGTCCCTCCCCTTCCCTGCGTAAAGAAAACCCACTCATCCATCCCCGGCCGATCATCCATCATCAACCTATACAACCTCCCACTCTTCTCTTCATCAACCACCCCATCCATCTCCCCCCTCATATCCCTCCCCATCTCCAACAAAGCATGATACTCATCCCAAACCCCACCCAAAAACCACTGTCCAACCCCCCAACTAACCTCCACATACCTCAACACCCCCCACGCGCACCACCACCTCTTCCAAAACCCCGTCACCGTCTCTCCCCTTCCCTGCGGAACTGCCCCTCTGCCCTCAATAAGTTCAGCCACCACCCGTCCCCAAAACGGATGACCCGGCCTCGCAGCTAAGATATTATTACTCAACGCCCCTCTTCCGCCGTCCGTGATCCAGAGCGGGTAACTGATAAGTGGGTCGAGACTATTGGCAGTGGGTGAGATGGAGGGTAGACACCCGTTATCGAGGTCGAGGTAGATGCCGCCGTAGTGAAACAACAAAAAGTAGCGGAGGGCGTCGACGCGCTGGACGGGGTGCGGGTAGGAGAGGTAGGAGGGGAGGAAGGTTGGGTAGTAAGTGGTTAGGAAGGCGAGGGAGGTGGAGGGGGTCCAGAGCTGTTGCCACCCAGAAATGTCAGTCGTTGGGCGCTGGGAGGAGAAACAGGGAAAAAGAAGGGGAGAGAAGGACATACCCGATACTCCCAGCCCGGATTATTATCCACACAACTACGTCTCTGCGCATCCCAATCACTCGGCAGCGTTTTGTTCTCTGGGTCCTTCCAGTTGTGAAAGATCTGGTGGATAATCTTGGGGATATACTCCTTTGAGTCCTTTCGCGTTCCGGTTTCCCTTTCTCCTCGGAGGAGGGTGGTGCCGTTGAGGTAGGCATTTGCGACTTGGCGCTGGGTGATGGCGATGCCGGGGTGTTGGTAGAAGATGTGGATGAAGGCCAGGAGGTGGGTGATGAAGTAGTGGAGGGCGAAGAGAATGGGGATAGCGATGATTGCGACTCGGAACGCTGAGCGTACGAGTATCGGTCGCATCTTTGGTGGTCGTTGGCGCCGAATGTGGGCACGAAAAGAAGAGACGGAATGCGATGGTTTGGTTGAGTGGTATCAATCGACTGGCCTGCTCGGCTTCTGAAGGATGACCACCAGAGAAAGTCCTCGGTCGCAAAGACACCCAGACAATAACAGGTCTTGTGCCCCCACTACAATTGATCGCTCCTTCTATTGTCGCCGAATAAGTGCAATCTTGCGAACGAGTTCGAATGACAAAGGCACGATGGAGCAGACTGTTGTTTTCGTCAAGTGCGGTGTGTCGCGCGGATCCCTTGAATGTACCACCATGAAGCAAACATCATGCGCCGGACATGCGCGTCCCTGCAGGCGAGAAGATGAAATTTGGACGGCAAGCCGCATTCGCACAGTAGACTCGGGGTTTTACATGTTTTGAAACACGTTGTGGCGGACGAAAAGGAGTACTAGAGAGGCTAGAAATGATCGTCGAGTGCGACTTGACATCAACGGGGACAAACTCGGGTCTGATGATAGGAGAAGGTGACGTTGACGATTGGTGTTCATGTTTACGTACGACATGACATGACATGACACCCGCTTGTCAATGGAGTCTCCTGCAGCGCATGGAGCTTGACTGCATGGGCAATCCAGCCAGCGTACACAGTTAGTCACCATCAAGTGGGAAGGTCATGATGTGCGGTTGTTGACGGTTGGTACTAGTATCTTGAAAATCAAAACCATGACTAAACATTAACCGAATGATCGGTCCTCTATGATCTCGCAATGCGCTGCCGTATGTTCTCTAAGCCGGAGCAGATGTGTAATACAGATCGTAAAGATTGCGCTTGTTCATGTGCCCATGTCTTCGCTCAGCATCAAATTCAGATGATGGCAGTAACCTTCCCGGTCGTTTGCTCCTCTTCCCAACTCTCAAAGGCGTGGCCAAGGATATCTTCGTCCGAGTCTATGATGTTGACCTTGTAGTGCTGCTGATATTCGATCCCATCGAACCGTAACGCCTGTGTTCATCTCTCTGTCATCTCATACGGTCCGGTCTCCTAGTACTCCAAACAAACCATCTCCAACTCTCTCGCCAGCTTCCCATTGGGTCCACTGACCTTGCCCTCCACCTTCTCGCCGACAATCATCCAGGGACTGAGATTACACCTTTTCGACGCCTTTTCCCATGTCCAAGCCATGCAGTCGCTCCCCTTCTCATAGCACTTCCGTCCACAATCCTCGGCCGTCTCAACTCCTTCAACCACCGCCACCTCTCCACCACTTCCACCCGCATGATCCCAGTTGGCATACTCTATCGGCTTTGCCAGCTCGTCGGACGTCAAGGTACTCTGCCTCCAAGGCCTCGACATCCCATACACATCCCAGATGTCGCTCCACAGTAGCGGCTTGCTCACATTTCTGAAGCTCTCGCCCGCCTGGTGCATCTTTTCCGGCTGGCCCAGCCCATGAAACGTAATGATAGGACAGCAGAACCGGTCTGGGCGAATCTTGGCCCACCGCGGCGCCTCTCCACTGAACAGATGGCTGTATTCTTCTTCCAAATAAACTCCAGCTTTTATTAATGTTCTGGCGAGTAAACGGTCACCCCATGTTTCCGACAGTGATTCAAGGTGGGCGGTGCGCACGGCCTGCGGATTGTCGAGAATGAGAGAGGACATGGCGCCCTGGGATAGAATTATTCCGGAGCCGCCGTGGGCGAAGCGGATGCGGAAGTCGCCGACGGCATTGCCGATGTAGTAGGGTAGTTCGGAGTCGAGGTGGGCGAGAAGAGGTTTTAGGGAGGATTGGACGATGTAGGTGTCGTCGTCGACGAGCAGGTACCACTTCTTGTTGGGAAACTTGGAGTAGGCGAGTTCGAGGCCGGAAATGAACTGGTGGGAGGGCTGTTAGCGGGTGCCGTTGCGATCTGGAGCTGACACTGAGATACATACTTTCAGAGCATCAATCTCCCATCCTGTAGACTTGGCGAGTGTGTCTGCTTCTTCTTTCCCATTCTCTATAGCCTCAGCAAACTGAAGGTACTTTGCGACTCGTGGGTTGGACAACTTGGCGGCCGGTCCCAAGGAGCTCAAGGTCTGGTTGACGACATTGTGAATTGGCAGAGATGTGCCGTGGTTAATGGCCTCTTGACCCGGCTTGGAGGTATAGTCGGCGATGGCGAGGAAGTCACGGAACTTGTTGGAGGCGCTGAGAGCTTCGAACCAGGCGTTTGCTCTTTGGCGCGTGCCGTATCCGGTCTTGACGATGACGACCGTGTCTGTGCCCAGATCAACTGGGTATGCTGGTGGCGCAAACAGCCAATTCTCGACAGGGTGTGAGTTGAGGTAATGTTGAAACTTGTTAATGTTGAATCGGATGCCTAGACGGACAACATTGTCGTACGGGAGCATGATCCAGCCGAAGAGAAGCAGAGCCCCAAGGAAGAACAGTATGTTACGCAGTCTTCCGAACGGACCGTATCGCATTTGTCGCATGAGAGCGCGCATTCTGTGCCGCATGGTGGGGCTCCGTGAACACTGCTGGAGTAGAAAGCCGTCTTCGTTCTCAAGCTCCATGATCTTGACTCCTAGATCTGGGTCGCCAATGACGACGGGTTGTTGGGATGGGTGCTGCATGGTGGGACACGATCAGGATGGGAGAAGGAGGGTCTTCTGCCCAAGGTCGCATCGTTTGTCGCCGTGTTTCGCAGCAGAGCACAGCGTCAACAAAGTAGGTAGGGCTAGTACATTGAACCAATTCCTTGGTCGCGACGAAGTCGGTAGTTAGCCGGTCATTTTCAACGGGTTAGGTTGTCATGGGGGAAGCGAAGGAGGAGAGATGGAGGGGTGGGAAAAAGAAAGAGGAGGGAGACTGGCAGGGCAGGCCGGCGGTCACGGTGGATGCAGTGGAGGGTGGACGTCAAGGTGCCTGCTCTTGCTCCTTGGCCTCGCAGGGTCGCACTTTGCCTCACGCGCGCCGAGAAAATGAGCAACCTGCAAGAGCGGATCGCGATGTGATTGCCCTATAATGACAAGATTACCGGTCAATTACTTCGCTACGGATAACACGGCTCAAGTAGACGCGCGGTTTCTTCCGTTTAATTCTCCTGAAAATGTGTCCGAATGATTGTCGCTTTGGTCGCGATTTTTCAGGATTCAAAGAACCAACAGCATCGGAGTTTAATGTGCCATGGCCCGCCTAAGCCCTAAAGGAGATTGGCGTTTCTGGGCGTTTCTGGGCGTTTGAATCTCTCCGCATCTATCAGCATCACCTTGATTCTTCACACCTCGGCTTCAGTGTGACAAGAGCGCGTGAATTGGAACGTATCATTGGCCCTTTACAATTTCAATATCGAGAACGAACTGACATGTGCAACTGTTCCTGTCAAAATGGTCGATCAGATGCGCATTTCCCCGGATTTTCCCCTCGTTTTCACTTTTCCGGCAACGACCGGCAGCTGATCCACAGGTACCGCTGTGCGCTAACCACGCTAGGCGGGCCCCCCTAACAACGTCAACATCGAACAAGCTCACCAAGCATGCTCGGCAGGGACAACGTTGATTTCCGCTTCAACTCTGTTTTCACCAATCTTTGATGTGATGAAAATTACGGAATCGTTTTCTATCCTAGAGTTTCCACGAGAAAAGGGGGAAAGACAGCCAAATCCACAGGTCAATCGAGCACCGGGTTGATCATCGCGAAAGCTTCAATGACGTCATCTCCAGTCTGCTAGAGTTTCTCATCCCAACATTTAACCACCACAACCTTATTCCGACCACTGCTGGCCCTTATTCCAACAACCACCCATCCTTATCTCAACGACCGCCCCTAGGATGGAACCTCTCACGACTTCCCACCACCCACCACCGCCACCGTCGTCGGCACCGGCACAACCTCAACAGGCGGAGGCGCAACCCCAACCTCCACCTTCGCCGTTCCACTACTATCCTGCCCCTCAACAGCCACAATCATATAATTATGTTTCCCCATCTTCAGTCCCACGCTTTCCCACGCCTTGAAATGATTTCCCGTATTAACCGTTCCCCCGCCCGGTCTCTGCTCATACCTGATACTCCAATACTGAGCAAACGTCGCGGTGCCGATAATAGAGGGTTTGTTTACCCGCTTCTTGGTCATGATCTGGTATGTCCCGCCGTCGGAAGTGACGTTCCCTAGGATTTTGGCTTCCGGGTTGTCGGATGGGTGGTGATCCCCGTGGGCTTCGATTATGTAGTACTCTACGAGGGGGGAGGTGGTCCAGCCGTAGACTGCTAAGTAGGCGTTGCCGAGTGGAGAGAAGGTGGAGGTGTAGGAGACGTTTCTGGAGTGTGTTCGTTAGTTGGCTGATGGAGGAACGGGGTGGGTGAGAGATGATGCGTGGGACAGGTAAAGGGAAGATAGGGAGAGGAGACGAAGGTGGAGGGCGGTGAAACGAGAGGGGGAAAAGACTAACCTATTACTACCAGGATTCCACCCCTTTCCAATGACAAAGTTCCCCTTGTCTCCAGACCAGGTAACGTCGAACTTGCCCTCGGCGCCGTTCTTTACCGTCAGCTTGGGCTTGCCGTCAGACCAGTTGGACCAGAAGTAGTTGGCTGCTGGGGCGGAGGCCACGCCGATGATGGTGAGAGAGATGGCTAGGAGGCCGGTGAGGAGGGAGGTGAGGAGGAACATGTTGAGAGGGCAGCCTTGCAAATAGTTCACAGGTTGACAGGTTGACAGGTTGACGACGAGGAGCTAGTAATGTCCGGGATTTCTAAATAACCAGGGGGCAGGCTACTATGGAAAGGGGGACTGTTGTCTTTATATCATCTCAATCGGTTTCGGAGCCCAGACTGCATTGAAGCTGTGATAAACGGCCCTTCAGAGTTCAGACGAGTGTCTCCCCAAACTACCGGTAGCCAGAAGTCCGACCCAAAGAGAGCCAAGGCTGCTCAGCCTTCCTTCTCCTCTATATCACCTCCACTGTTATTATCAAAGTTTGCTTAGGGACGCTGATGTCCAGCTTGGCGGAAGCGAGAGGACTGTCCATGGTCTCTATCGACAAGGGAAATACCTTCATTTGCAATCTCCGCAATCAACCACTTTATTTAAAGTTTAGGCGGGTGGCCGATGGATGTTCTTTCTCTTCATGCCCACTGGTCAAGACTGGTCAGATGCACCCCGGATCTTCCCACGATTGGCGACGATAGGCGGCACTCATTTATACTACCGGGTAATATGTGCGATTGCAACTCTTGCTCTTTACCTCAGACTTGCCCATGTCTTTCCACGTTTTCTCCCGGTTCACTGCTCACATGCGTCCCAATGGGGCATGGGCATTGCCCTGTTTCCGTTTGAGCGATGAGCAAGTGCCGTTCTTGGCTCGGTCTGCTACTTCACAATATTTTCGGTGGCTAACTGCTTGGTATCTACGTTTTGAGAGGTGAAGGGATTCTTTAGCCGGTAGTGCTCTTTGCCTCTTATGCTCGGAACCCAGATCTACACAGCCGGGGGAAAGAGCTTAGACACTTGCTCAGTACAGCCGGTATGGGCATTCAAAACGCACAAGAACGTTTGAATCGGAGACTTCTATGTCAATTATAATGCTGCTACAAAAGAATGACTTACTGGAAAGATGGACAAGGGGTATTCTGCACAAAGGAGTCTCCATCACCATCAAAGCCTACCTACCCAGGTCGAAAGACGAGTGTCTTCCTCCATCACCACCCTACTTCTTCATCGGATGCCCCGCCATCCCCGGCAACTCCTTCAACCACCCATCCGTATTCTCATTCACAACGCTCTTCACCGTGCACTTATTCGCCTTATCAAACGCCTGCGTCTTCAATCCGGTGCACGACGGTCCGAAGCACTTGTTATCCATCGCATGCTGCAGTCGATCCCCTTGCCATCCAAACACATAATCGCCATGTTGTCCATACCCGGTGTTATCTCCATTGCTCAACACGAACGGCTGGCTGCCATCTGTAGGCCAATCAACCTTGTTGTTGAACTGCCGAGTGTCCCAGACTACTTCGTAGTGCACCTGTGGGATCTTGACCGGGTGGGTGGAAGGGCACTTGGCGTCTACGACAGCGAAGGAAGCAGGGCCGGAGGCGGGATGGGCAATGTGTTCCGTATGCGACGGGGAGTCCAAGTTCTTGCCGTCCCAGCAGATAGGAAAGATGACGCTTGACCGAATGCCGCCCGGGCAGGGCTGCTTGGGGAACGTCTCCGTGTCGCGCTGCGGGTCCATGCAAGGGGAATAAGTGTTGCCGCCAAAGTTGGCGCCCGTGTAGCATCGATAGCAGGATTGCATGTTCTTGCCGAAGCCGGCGGACTTGCGGCGGTTGGGGTCGCCGGAAAACATTCGGAAGCCAGGCTTGAAGGCTGTGACGGTCTTGGGGCCGGGCGCGGTGTAGTACACCGTTATGCCGGCGTTGGCAGCACCGATCTGGTCGTTGACCATCTGGGGAACGCGCTTGTAGGTGCCGTTGCGCGCCTTGAAGTAGACGTTGGCTGTCCAGTAGTTGGAGAAGTCCTCCGAGAAGGTGCAGGAGGTGCAGGTGGCCAGTTTGGAGATGTCGGCGTTGGGACCGGAGGCCATGGTTACGTTGAAAGCGTTCTGTTGGGTGTTAGTGTGGGTACTGGCTGTTAATGGGATTAGGGTGTAGACGTACGCCGCCAACGACCTGATGGACATGTGAAGAGGGGAGCATGCCCGGCTCGACGAGTCTATAGACGAGTGTTAGTATCGTCCATGGCCGTAAGTCTTGGGTGGTACAACTCACGGATCAATACGGTCAATGACTGCTTGCGAGCAGCCAAAGCGCAGCATGGTGCTCGAAAAGCCTTGTGCATCAACGGCAACTGCGAAGGAGAGCGCTCCCAGCCAGTACATGTTGGCGATAACGACGATACCTCGGAGGAGCGATAGGAAGAGTAAGCGATGGAAAGCAATGTTTGATCCAGGAAACTTTAGGACGTGACAATCTGGGTTGACAGAGAGCGCCATCGGGTCTCTTAAACGAGTCCAAGAAGCATCGAGCAGCCTGGCGTCATCGTCCGTTTTCAGCTTCACTGCCGGACTGGGAAGTCGATTTTGTACAGTTCACAATTGCCGGGTTGTGAACGGTTCCGGAGTGGGGGGCATTGATATTGCAAGCCATATGCGTGCCTATCGGATGTCGAGGTCCATAAAGACGTTGTCGATCCCGGGTATTCTGCCGGATCTTGATGTTGCGTTCCAATCCTCGGTCAGACAGACCAGATATGTGGTGGCCATGTGATATGGCCGTCGAAGTTTGTCTCAAATCAAGAGCGTTAGAACTGGTAACTGGTAACTGATAGGAAAAAGGACGGAAAGTGGAGGGTATGATACTTGCTGATTTTCGGCAGCATGAGGTGTGTTGAACGGCCTCCGAGACGGACCATCAATTGGCAGGCATTTGAGGCTGCTCCTGATAACATCTGGCCGGCATCCATCGCTTGAAAGGGACACAAGGCTTCGTAGGTGTGATACGAGCGAAGGCCGTTGGATCATCATCACCGTGTCCGGACTTCGAACGTTGGGCGTCGCATATCATGCTGGTCGCGATGATGTTGTTTGGAGATTGATTGGCCATCACGATGCTCTCATCTTGCCGTGAGGCTATGATGGCCTTTTGGTGGAAATGAAGGAGGAACTTCGAAACGGCAAACTTTTGCACTTTGCCAGTCTGCCGTGCGTATGAAAGAACTGAACCACCCAGAAATGGACGGAGTATCTCTCGTTCGTGCTTGCCTTCAAGTCGTGTGTCTCGTCGGCAGTTATCGACTACTTCAATGTCACGGGCCTCCCCGGTTACCAGCGGATACATCTAGTGATCGCCGCAGAATGCTTGGGGGAAGGCACCATGGTCGATGGTCGATGTCGATGGCGGGCGATTCCAAGCCCACTCAGAGCGCTCCCGACCCAACGGCCTATCGGCAGATGGAGGTTTGTACTTCGAGGTGGCAACACCATGCTTTCGGTCAAACTTCGGTTCTATCAAGTGGCAGTGAATGTTCTCATTGAGATCCTCGGACTACAGGGCAATTTTTCCTGCCTACTTATGCATATATGCATTATGATATTCACGAGAGAGTTCCCGGAGCCCAGTGCATGACCCAATTATGCATCATACAGCACCCAAATCCAAGACAGTCCGCTTCGCGGTGTGTTCGGTCTTGGGGACTTTGTCAACTCCGGCTCCAACTCCGAGTGAAAGACATGGATAGGACTATCAAACCCGCTATTCCGGCGCAAACATGGTCGGTGATGATGACATCCATCACTGTCCCCTATGTTTTCTAGAGCGGTTAGGTAGATATGCCACAACACAAATTCCTACGCTATTAGAGCTCCCATAATCATTGTTTGATATATGGACAGTAATTTTCTGGGACTGGACAGGCTTCGTGGAGGAGAGAGTTCGCTGGATCTCGAATGTCCTGTTGGCTCTAGCTATGCCTCTGAAGCTCCCAAATTCGTCCAAAAACTGCGCATCGTGGCCGCCGAGCGTATGCGCTATCATGCAGTTGCTTGTCGAGGTGCTTTAGAAAAGCTGCCTGACGTTATGTTGCTTGTGATTTGATTTTTTTTTTGGTTTTTTTTGCGGGGTTTTTTTTTTGGGTTTTTTTTTGGGTGGGTGGCGGGTGAGAGAAAGGAACGATAAAGGTTTTTTTTTTTTTGGTTTTTTTTTTTTACTTTATTCACGTACATGTAGAAAAGAAAAGAAAAAAAAAAACAGTCTCCGTTCAGTGATGAGAAATAAAACAGCAGATTCTCCCACTTTCCTCAAAAAAAAACTTTTTTCCTTTTCATCACCAAACACCATATTCTGGACTGGCATTCAATCCTTTTCAAGCTTCGCCAAAGACCGACCACTTGAGATACTTTGACAGGAACCAATCCCACCGACAACAATCACATCGTCTCTTGAGAAAGAAAAAAAATGTCGCAGATAAGAGGCCAGCAGAACATGCTAGGCCTTCATGGACTCCTAGTCTACCGTATTGCCACTACTTTTCCGGCTACGTTAGCCGCATTCCCCTTCCAACTCATGTGAGTCCTGCCCCTCCACCGATCGTTGCACTTTGCCTTTGTCTTTTTTTTTTGCGGCGAGCCATCTCTGACTTCTCACCAACACCAGAAAGCAATGGATTGCACGAAAATTACGTTCAATCTTGCTCACACCACTCCATAGCCTGGGAAATCTCTCGCCCGGTATTGCCGCAACACTCACCAGATGGATTTCCACGTTCAAATTCGGCCTTTCGCGTCTCATCAGACCGTCAGCCTCGCCTCTAAGCATTCCAGAGCCACCTCCCACCGAGATGATGATTCTCGCCAGGCTCATGGAGTACTTCGACGGCCAGCAATTCGTACGTCGAGTCTCCCGCCAAGCATCCTTCGACCACGATCGTCCCGACGTCCGTGAACGCCAGTCCCGAGTCACCACGTACGAGATTTATGACTCGGAGTACAACCTGGTATTCAGTTCCGTGGAAGGCCGGACGCCGGTCGGCGGAGGAGTCCCATTCAGGCTGAGGTTGCCTCGTTGGAAGACGCCTCTACACTTGCAGATCACATCCGAAGAGTCCTGGCTCCGATTCACGACTGATGGACAGTTCATTTATGTATCGTCTCATAGAATGATCCTTGATTATGGAGATGTTATTACGTCGAATCATACAGGGGGGATGGGTATTGGGATCGTGAACTGCGGAAAAGGGATCAATGGAAAGACATCGCGGGAAGAAGGATTGTACGGAAAGGGATAATTAGAAAGGGATCTTCAAGGAAAATGCACGAAAGCAAGTGCCTATCTGTACCCCCACGCAAAGGGAATCCCATAAGGTACCTTGCAAGAGATATCCGCCATCAATGGAAAATACGATATTGGCAAATGTTTGCATGGAAAGTGTAGTTGGAAAGAATGATGACGCCTGGAAAGCAGTTCAGATTGTTCTTTGTTCTTTTTCTTGAACTGTATGAGATGTTCCCGTCGAGTGTCCTGACTGCGGGTGGTACTAGACTACATGGATTTTAAGTGGGTTTCGGCCCTCAAGGTACACGGCGACGGGACCGCGCCGGACATCATCCACGCCTTCCCTCCCCGTAGTGACAAACCTCAGACCAACTCCAGTAAATGTCAAATGCTCGTCCAATTTAACACTACCACCAAGAAAATTGTTCAAAGCATCAATCTGGCATCCCGAATCAATACGCCTGTCAGACCCGGGGTACCTCTGCTATTTCCGAGGTTACATTCCACCGCACAGACGCTATCAACTTCACCACGCTCCATGCATCGCGACATGCCCTGGATCATCATCAGCCAAGCTTCTTCCCGTCCTGAAACATTCACCAAGGTCAGTGCTCAAGACGGGGCACGTTTCATGCAACGCCATTAAGAACAATCTTGGAGTGTAAACATAACCACAAATGCCAAAAGGCTGGCTCACATCCTCCAAGTGCTCCAACGCCATCGCGTTTCGCAACCCGCTAATGTCTATTTGGACGGAAATGGACTGGTGCGGTGTGGGAGGGTAGGAGGATAAAACAGTTACAGTTTGGACGTCAAGTTAAAGGTGGGTTTCACTCAACCCACGGATTGATCGGTTGGCACTGATACCAGATAATGGTTGGGTAAAAGACGAGGTTGGAAACAAACGGAGTCAATCCAGAGCCCGAAGATCATAAGACCTCGAAGATCTTATATGGTGATAAGTACCCCGTCTTGGCCGCTGGAAGGGGACCTGTATCAAAGCCCTGTTCTTCGATCTCAAATCTGCCGTTACTTCAGCTTTCGCTCGTTACGCCTATATATCCACTCGTTTACGAACCTAGGTGCTTGGGACACTCCCACATACCACGACAAGAATGGCACGAATAACTGCATTGCTCTTTGCAAGCCTCTTTCTGAGCCCTCTATCCGCCGCATCTCCAACAAGAGCCAGTCCTCTCTTGGCCAGCCGACAAGACACCGACAATGAAGGCCTCCACTCCCTCATGCTCGCCGCCGGCAAGCTCTTCTTTGGCACCGCCACCGACGTTCGCTACCTCGACAACAAAGCACACCAAGCCATCGTCCAAAACCCCAATGAGTTCGGCATGATCGTCCCTGAGAACAGCCAGAAGTGGGGAGAACTGGAAAAGGAAGACAAAGGGAAAGTGGACTTTACGAATACGGATATCATTGCTGCGCAGGCGAAGGGGAATGGGCAGTTGTTTAGGTGTCATGTTTTGGTTTGGGGGGCTCAACTTCCCAGCTATGGTACGTATTTCCTTTCCCATTTTCCAATGTAAGCGCTTGTAGAGGAGGGAGGATAAAGTCTGATACTTGGCGGCAACAGTTACATCTACGTCGTGGACCGAGAAAACACTAAGTGATGTGCTCCAAGCCCACATCACCACTACCGTCACCCACTTCGGCTCCCAATGCTACTCCTGGGACGTAGTATCCGAAGCCCTTTCCTCTTCTCCAGATTCCAACACTCTATCCACAACCTCCCTTTTCCATCAAGTCCTAGGAGCCTCATACATCCCCTTCTCCTTCTACTGGACATCTCTCGCCGCTGACCCTTCTTCAAAACTCTACTACAATGACTTCAACCTCGAGCTTTCACCCTCCAAAGCGCAGGGTGCAGTGGACATTGTCCACCTCATCCGCAATTACACTTCTCCCACTGGAGAAAAGAACAAAGCGCGTATAGATGGCATAGGCCTGCAATCCCACCTCTTCGTCTCCTCCGTCCCCTCTTTACCCTCCCTCACATCAACCCTCGAACTCTTCACCAACCTCTCCCTAGAAGTGTCCTTCTCAGAACTCGACATCTCCCACTCCTCTTTGTCCCCGTCCCCCAATGCTACACAAATCGAACAACAAGAGAAGGATTACATGACCGTCATCTCAGCCTGCTTGGCCGTAAAAGGGTGCGTCGGGATCACGGTGTGGGGGTTTAGTGATAAATACAGCTGGGTTAAGGATGCGTTTCCTGGAAAGGGAGGGGGGTGTTTGTATGATGAGAACATGAAAAACAAGGGGAGTTGGTTTGCTGTGGCGGAGGTGTTGAGGAGGGCGGGGGTGGTTAGGAGGGGGGCTGTTGCTGTTGATGCGAGTTTGGATGGGGAGGTGGCTGTGGCTGTTAATTCTACTACTACGGTCGAAGGAGAAGGAGGAGGAGGAGGAGGACGAGATCCGGATGAGGCGGTTAGAAAGGCGGCGAGGAGTGGGGAGTTGATGAGGGGGGTTAATGGGACGGAGTTGATGGTGGCTGCTGGTGAGGAAGTTGGAGATGCGCAGGGGAAGGGGCAAGGGGTGGTGAATGGGGCAAGGAGATGGGTAGTTACGGGTTGGGGAGGATGGGTGGTTGTGATGGGTTGGGGTTTCTGGGGTTTCTGGGGCATTCTTTCTTCCTGAGAAGGTGTGGGGGCTGTTGCTTTGCATGCTTGTAATGTGGGTGGAAAGGAAAACAAGACACGTTCCAACTTACAGCCATTAGCCACACTTTGGGGAGAATTTCATCACGCATCCAGACGCCTGCATTAAGGGCTTAAACCTCTTGATGTCGGTGTAATCTCGTGCATTTTCTGGTTCTGTTTCTTGTGCGCTCATGAGTGCAGGTTACCTAGGTATTCTTGCTTGAAATTGGCATGAAGGAAGCAAGGCAGCTTGGTAGAGCGCAAAAAAAAACCTGAAATGAAGATGTAGCTGGAGACGTGTCGGACATTGACTTCATGCACGAATATTTTCTGCATGCCCTGCAGTTCGATCTAACACGTTTCCTCCCATTTTTCTACCGACCGATATTTAAGGAGGGATCCCCCATTTTTCCTTTGCTCCTCTTCCTCAATTCGACCAACCAGACCATCCTCATCCACTCTTTCATCAACAAGCGACTATTACAACTCGAGAAGACGACTCCAGTTTCCACCAATTCGCTCGCTTCAACATCAACTCCTCTCTTCAGTGACAAAATGACAATCAACATCGACAACCAGCCCTCCAAGACGGCCCACCGTCGTCGGGTCCGCTTCGACACCTTACTCTTCCGCTCCTACTTCATCACAATAACCACCTCCGCAGCCTTATCCTACGGGACCTGGCTTCTGTACTTTCTAATCTGTTTACTCCCCCAATCGAGCCAATTGAGCCCCTTGAGACAAAGACCACAACGACCTCACAGTCAGACAGTACCTCTACCTCTACCTGTACTACCGGCATCCCGTCTCTGCAACCACCCCTCTTCCTCATCCTCATCTGGTTGTTCGTAGCCTTGGTTACCTTTCTCCTTATGCCCTTTGGTTTTCCAGCGCCCCTGGGCTATAAACGCCGCTCTTTCTGGCTGGTCCGAGATGTCAGCTGCGGGGACGGGAAGAAACATCTAGGCTACGATTTGGAGAAGCAGGAAGTGTATTACCGCTTTGACTCGGTCGATTTGTTTTTGGCCAAACAAGCGTAGAGCCGGGTACGGCTGGCTTAGGTGGCTTCGACCGATCTTCTGACGAGCGGATGCGGATCGCAAGATTTTGGGTTCGGTACAGTGATAGGATTGACTTGAGTAAAAACAAATCAAGTGAGTGGAAGCGGTAGATGGGAGGGGGGGTGGAATTGGAGACATAATGCGCAATGGCCTTCCCATGTCGTGGGGATCCGACACCGTGTTACGATCCAACCAAAGTTATGTAAGCTAGCTAGATAGATAGACCAATCAGGTTGGACCCGAAGGCCCGAAGGCTTCGGGTCCCCGGGTCCGTAGTATCGGAGGACCCGAAAGGTTCGGGCCCTCGGGTCCGGTACACCGGGTCCAGGGAAGAGCAGTATAAAAGAAGACCTCCCGGCCTTCGTTTATAAGGCTCTTCAGCAAGCAATAGCTATCACAATCTACCAGTACCTTTCAGCTACTACTCCGTTACTCTATTGTTCTATCCCAGCGATAATACTCCTATGCTTGTAACGGTTCGTCACACACCGCGGTATCAGCGAAATGGTAAGTTCCTTCCTTGTGGTTGTCGGTTTTACTTTGGTCAACTTTTGACATGGTCGAGATATGCTGAGTTGCTGACCGCTGCATGTGTTGTGCATTTAGGCTACGGCATAGAAAAGACCCTTACGAAACGATGGTACGGATCACAAAACTTCGAAAAATACATCGGCTAGAGTCCATTGGGAATTTTTCCCTTTATGGAATGCCTAGACATGGGTTCAAAGGGCATAAACAGGACGGTCGATTGTGGGCGAGAGTATCCTCACGGTGTATTCTTACGACAGCTTTATGTTTCCCGCCCGATGCATGACAGACGTTGCGGCGGACTTAGAGGCACCCTGCGTTTCTACGTTTGTTTTTCTACCGACAATAAGATACTGGGGCGCACTTGAGGATCAAATCTGGATACGAAGGGTGATGGAATCTCCGGCATGGAAGAACATTATGGGTTTGGCGGAGAGATGGTTGAGTTGCGAGTCGGGGGAAGTTTGGGGCAGTGCTTTTTTTTTTTTTGTTAGGATTCATAACTCAGCAACGTGTTTCTTTATCTGAGTTCCTTGACACTGCTGATCCATAACCCGGAACGTGGCGTTGGCGGATCTGCCCGATCGAGGGTCAACAAACAACAAAGAAAAGATGATGATAATGATATTCCGGATTCAGCGTCTTAATTGAACTTGGCCCTTAATGGACCTGTTGTCGACAAGGAAACCGTTTGGCTGGGACACCCACCGTGAATAAAGCCTGCCGCCTCGAGGCAGTTGGCCACAAAGGAATGAACTGAATAAGAACAGAACTCGGTCAAAGATCTGCCCACCAAGATCAGTTAGTATAAAGCTTTGCCTGTTGGTATTATTTCCCCGGTTTATCTCTTCGCTGTAAATTCAAAAAGATCATCTTTCATCCCATTAAACGCATATCCGTCCTTTGTCTCGTGTGTACAATTTAAACGAAACCTTCTTCAACACGACCATTCCTCCACGCACCTAAACGCAGCATCTATATTTGCTCGTTTGGTATCATGGAGTCACCCAAAATCACCATTTCTCCTCATGAGGAGACGTTCTCGTCTCGGTCAGAGGAGGAATTTGGCAAGGAAAAGACATCCGTGATGGAATACAGCGACAACAGCACTTCTCCTCAAGATGAATCACTCCTTCCAAAAGGGGACATCGTGACAGAGCCTGAAGAGCCATATGCCATAGACTCCACTGCCGATAGTGATGTCGAAAAGGAAACATATCCGCAGTCGCCGAGAGAGACCATTCCATCAGCCATGGAAGAGGATTATACAATGGAATACAACAAAGACAACACTTCCCCTCCAAACCAGCCATTCCAACCAGAAGAGGACATTCCAATTGTCACTGAAAACAAAGACACGTATGCCATGCACTCGGATAACGACAACAATTCAGACAACGAATCGATCTCGCCGGTGAGAGCAGTACAAGATGTCACGAAAACCTCACCTGTCCTGAAGTCCAACGATGAAGACAGCAATTCTCGCGAGGAATTATCCTCGTCACGGGATGATTTCCTCACAGGACAGGCATCTGCCGCGGAAGAGGCACTTGTGGACAATGACATGCCAACGACACCTGACATGGGAGGGACCCGTTTCGAAGACAATGCATCCCCCGTGATCAGCGAGCGGGAACAGCCATCTCCCATCGAAACGGATCATTCTGTCCCGGAAACGACGTATCCCATGGAAGATCCATTCGTCGACGTCCCTTCCGCGGAAAGCCCGACTGTCGCGGAAAGGACAGCTCCGACTCTGAGGGAGACGGCACCTTCCACGAACACGACACCCGTCAAGCAGAGAACGCCTGCCAGGAAAAGAACACCTTACACGCCAAAGAACCCCGTCAGGGTGAAGACGCCTGCAAGGGAAAGGACATCTCCTCTGGCGGAAAGGACTCCAGCCGCTCCTCCAAAGATACCCGTCCTGGCACCCCAAGTCACGGACAAGCAATCCAGGTTGGAAAGGGCACGTGCAGTGCGGGAAAGCAGAGAAGCGCGTTTGAAGGAAAAGGGAGGAGAGATGGAAAAGACACTTGCCACGACGGGAAAGGGAGCCATCACCAAAATGAGGGAGAGTTTCACCAAGTTGAGGGATAATTTCAGAGCGGAGCTTCATGACCTTCGGAGCTATCAACCGAGCTCTGACGCGGATGAACCGAGTCCTAACGCGGATGAAGCCCCGAACAAAGCAGCGGTATCTGTGATATTCCTTCTCGGATCCTACATTTTCCTCCTTGTCACCATTTGTGGCCTCGCTGCAACTTCTGTGTTCCCTTTCCTCAACAGATTCGTGTTCTGAGCGGTTCGACAGCCCAGGTGCAGAAGGAACAGGCATGTATATGGGTCTCGGCCCGGCCTCAACTTATCACGAGTAGTTTGGTGTATCGGAGGGCAGGAAGAAGGCTCTTGCCATTTTCATATATAGCAGCGCACATTAATCAGTCGTTTTCGAATTGAGATCTCTCTGGTGATCATCAGGGACACTGTTGCCCTTGTCTTTGCTCTTCCCCCCACACGTCGCGTATGGTACTCCCGCCTGCGTCATGTGCTGACCGGCGGCCGCTGCCCCTCTGCAACTGTTTCCTCGTTTGAATCTGATGGCTCGTGCGCTTCTCATGCCCCTTCTGCAGGTGGCTCTGGTCCAGGTATCTTTCTGCGGCCTCTGAACCTAACTTTTGGCTCCTTCCGTTTGCTCAGCCTTCTTCCTTTTCTTCAACAGTCCAAGTCCTTTCCCGTGACCACCCCGCAACAGACTCGGACTCCACTTCTCGAACACCGTGGCCGGCCCGCTCAACAACGCAGTGTCGATGGTTCAAAATAACCTCCAATAACAGAGATGCCCACGGCTAGGGTATGGAGCAGAAGGAGAAGACGGCGATTATGATGGCGACGATTGTGACCGGTTGCTACTGCATGGCATCAGTGTGATGAACTTCCACCCTTCCACCAGTTGCTCCTCAACAACCTCTCACTTATTCCGAAGACCAACAAACCCCGAACTTCACAAAAAAGAACTGGTTGTTTCCAAGTAACCACGACACAATCAAGAGCATGGTAATCCTTCCTTTCATGTCTCCTTACCTTGAGGTGCGCATGAAAGGCGATTCTGACTTGAGAGGCAGTCGCAACGGCTCGGGTAGCAAGAGACAAAGTGGAGGCGTCACGACCGGATCTTGCGAGGCACGGCATTCGAAACAAGCGATCACAACAATCATTCACCTGCAATAACATCGAGAACCTCGAGGAAGGAATGCTACGGGTGGACAGTTGTATGGGGTCGCAACTTCTTTGGAGCAAGGAAGCAAATTTCTGGCGTTTGTCGAAATCCGTCACTGGAAGCTTGCCAAAGGAAAGTGCGCTTCAAATCAGAGTAGGGCATGGACTGAGGAACAAGTCCGAACAGGTTTCATGAGGCGGAGAAGGGGAACGCACAAGGTCGAGGAGAACACTTTGTACCATATCGTGTAATTGTCATCTTTCCGTTGTAATTTGGCTTCGTTCACCCAGTTCTCCCTATAAAAAGCCACTACACGTAGTCCAATATAACAAACTTAGGAAGAATTGTTTGAAACTTTTACGTATCGACCAAATATGTGCATGTAACTCACGACCTGAATCTACTTAATCACAGTAGAACTATGCCTTCCTCATCGAGTAAAAGGCACAACCGACAAGCAAGAATGCCTAGAAAGGATGACCAGAGATGGCAAGAGCCAGACAAAAGGCATTCAGGGTGGAGGCAGTCCCGTCACGGAACATGGGATCACTGTCCGAGTGAAAATTCCCTTTTCTTTCTCGGTCCCGGCGGTACACTCGTGACCGCCGAGCTCCTGTCGAGTACCTCTACGGCTAGATAATGACGCGATCATGCTGCCTGTTCATCTCGTTGAGGTTGCCGTCTTGAAATAAAATGGAAGGTACGGGAGCCTCTGCCAGCGTGGCAGCAAATTTGGACTCCCACTAATTTTTTTTTTTTCTCCCACGAGTCTTTCAGGCAGCCGCTCCCCTCGTCTGCCGTCGTGCCCCTCTCTGCCACCTCTCTCCTATATCTCTTTTCCCTCTTCATTCTTAAACCTCTTCTTCCCCCCTCATCCTTTCCCTCACAACACACTCTTCATCCTCCATCATCAAAACTTTCTCCCCATTTCTTTGTCGCTGCTTGCGTTCAAGAACGTCAACAGCACTACCAACTTTCATCGGCAACAGCCACCACTCCCGTCTTCAGTCTTCTCGGCCGGCCACCGGAGCGTCATCGTCGCGCTTCTTCGTGCCGGAGCCCTTTCCACTTTGTAAGTTTGACCGTCACCCTCTGTGTCTTCGTTCATCAGCATCTTACTAACTTCTCCGTCAGTGTCCCACCAACTAGACCGGCCATGAATCAAGCATCGGCCGAGGCTGCCTTGACAGCACCTCCCCAAGGGGCGGTTGCGGGCTTCCCTCCCTCAGCGGCAACAACCACCGCAACAGCCTCAGCAGCTGCACAAGGGGCCAGCGCACCACCAACAGCCCCACCGGCGGCTTCGGCGTCTCCAGCCCCATCAGCTGGGTCTGCTCCCGCCCACAACCGTAAGGGCGTCATGTTTGTTGTTCCCGTGCCGAACGCCGGCGGCACTGTTCCTGTGCCCCCCTAGGGGCACAAACCGTAAGTCATGGCTTCCACTCTTCAGTCAAATCTCAGTCCAGACCTAACACATGAAACCAGGAAAGTGCCGCTGGGCAAGTGGGGTGGGTTCCCCTTCAACCCAAGAGAGACGAACCACGATGGGCCGTCAGAAAGGACGGCGGTGCGGACAACCATCTGTTGTAGCGCTGTTGCTCTCCTCAACTCATTCCCTCCTCTTTGTCCCGTCGTTTCTCCCAGGCCTCCCAGCTCAGGTTTGGCTGTGTACGCCATCCGATCGAACTTCCTGGAGCACCGCTTGCAAGACTACCCGATTCCCATCACCCGCATCGATGACCGTCTCATCGCACGGAAGTGTCAAGACATTTTCTGGCAAAGAAGCGTGACCGGTCTCGGCTGGGCCTCAGCACCAGTCCTGCCATTCTTGCCGAGCAAAGTCGTAAGCCATACTTGCCCCTTTCTGTGTGAGGGTGTGTTGCTCTTGCCGCTGAGATACTAATTGTTTGTTGGGCAATAGGTCTTCACAAACCCCCTGGAGATTGTCCTCGACTACCGACAATTCTCTCAGATGCTTCGTGGTCCGCAGGGCGAGCGCATTCGCCAGGCTTTCCAGCCCTTCAACATAGATGTGCTCAGTCTTCGCGGGCACACTTGGCGGGCAATTCTGGCCAGTCCCTCTCGTCGTCGCAAAGGCTCTGCCGGACGGAAGCTCATCACCTTGAGATGGAGGCTTCGAAGCTTTGGGGACCAGATCTACATCCCAGGGCAGCCAATCCTCAGATGGCGACTCATCCAAGGCAGGTACTTCCGCTGCTGTGGGAGACCGGATCTCTGCCATTCTTAGCTTTGGGCTAGCTGCACAGCTGAGATTCTTTGCTAGCGAAAACGTCCCGCCGCCTGAGCTTGCGCAAGTACACCATCACGGTTACCATATCCCTCTCCCTTCATCATGCCCTTCATTCTTTGTTTCGGCATATACCCCCAGCTGGGTCGCACCTTCCCAGGAATCTCGTCCAAGTTCAAAGATCACGCCAACCCTCGCGAGGCGTCTGTCCAGCACCAGCACTGCCGTCGTTGCCCTGGCTGAGGCCAGCTCTGCTACGCCCTCGATCAACACCGTTGTTCCCAACGTCGCTGTTGTCAATGCTCCTGCCAACCCGTCTGCCACACAGAACACCGCCCCTGCTGCGGCCCCCTCCACCACCACTCCAGAGTCGAGGACCTGAGAATCTTTCATGCTCACAGCATCCTGGCCACCGCGGTAGCCCAACTTCGCATCTGGCTCAAGGATCCATCATCCACAAGAACAAGACCAACTAAGAATTTGGATGGCGAGTTCGAGATGAGAACCGACCTGATCGACTGCGGCATCGATATCTGCACACCGGATGTTCTGACTTTGTGGTCCGAGAGTTTCTCGACTTTCACTGATCCTTGTGTTTGGTCCGCGGGGGTTGGAAACCCCTCTGGCAGACTTGGTTTCGAGGGTTTTGCCAAGGTTCTTGACCCTACCTGGAGAAACCGCCATGTGGCCGGAGCCAAACTTCTCTTTGTCGAGGGCTCTCCCATGCGCTCCGCCATGTGGAGTGTCCGTAACTTGGGCCTGGTCGGACTGTACAAGGGCGCTTCTGCTTGCCTTCTCCGTGACGTTTGTTTTGGTCTTCCGGGAACACAAGATGATCGACATATGGTCTCGGTCGTGGCGGCAAGGTTCTCGGTCTTTTCACGGTAGATGAGGATTTGCTTGATAAGGCAATTGAAACACTGAGTCGCAACGGTCGGGAGTGTGATGAATTGGTTGTTTGTGCTCGGGTGGGGTCTTATTGGGAGGGAGCTTTTGTATCTGTAGTCGCTTCAGCAAGTCTGTAGGAAGCCACGCGATAACAACACTCCATAATGTCTCGAGACATGGAAACAATCACTGTTCAAATTCACCACTTTCAAAGACTTCCATCCACTGTGACTCTGATATCCATGACGTGATCCTGCTGCTGCATCTTGCATGCTGTAAGCTGACTGTGTGTGAACTTGAACCAAACCGCATAGGCCACCTGCATCATGGCCACCACCCCTTTATTTACAAGAATGACACTTCAATGCTTCAGGTTCCTCAGAAAAAGTCACTTCCCTCATCCTCCCCATTATCATGATCAACAACCCTTCTCCTTTCTTTGGAGACATCACCTTGACCCCTAGGCTTCATTCTCACCCCTTGTCCTTTCAACGCCGCATAACCATTTGGACTTTCTTGTCTCTCCTCTTTGTCATTTTCGTTCTCATCCATGTCCGTCTTCCTATCCATGTCGCATTTCTTCTCCCGTCGACCAGGACCAGGACTAGCTTCAAAATTCAGCCATGACTTATCCTCCGATCCTTTCTTCCCACCATCTTGCTCATCATCCCCTTCAGGTCCATGTCCACTCCCATGCGAAACCTTGGCTTTGGGATGGTTATCTTCATTGAGTTCGGCAGCCATCAACTCCCGCATAATCGCCAATCCTTCTTCCCTTTCCGCATCATCGCTAAGCCCTTTGTGTAGGCCCCAGGCTGATAGGAAGGGGGTTATGCCGCGGTAGTTTTTGTGTAACCAGAGAAGCTCTTTCGAGGAGAGGTAGGACCGGGGAGACCAAGTTGGTGTTGTTGGCGCGGGGGCTGAGACTGTTGATGTGGGAGTGGGTACAGTGGCAGTGGGTGTCGGGATCTGAACGATGGGAGTAGGCGGAGTTACAGTTGGTGTCTGCAGCTGTGGTTGCGGGATATTAATCTGCGTTGCCGGTGCTGTGGTGGTGATTGTGGTTGTCGTAGCTGTTGCTGTTGCTGTTGCTGTTGCGGCTCTGGTGATTTGGTCTGTTCCGATGTGGTTTCCAGTTGTCTTATCTACCCCCGTCGATCGAGAGGAGGATGAAGAAGCAGGGGACGAAGTGGACGCGGAAGTGGAGGTTGAAGCTGAGGTTGAAGTCTGCGGACGGTGCTGTCGAGAGCGCGAGTAAGAGAGGGAGTCGCTTCTTTTGGGAATCATATGGGTTGGTACCGATTGGGAAGAGTGTGAGGAAGCTAGCGTTGAAGCGGATGCTAGTGATGATGATGTTGAGGGTTTGTGCTGGTGTTGGTACTGTTGTTGCTGGTGATACTGTCGCTGCTTCTCAGGCGGAGCAGTTGCTGATCGCGAGGGCGCTCCATTTCCATGTCCAACAAACTGCGACTGAGAGTGCGACTGCGACTGCGACTGCGACTGCCCCTGGACATGAGAGTGAACCTGAACCTGAGCATAAGAGGGAGGAACAGGCCATATGCTCTCCCTTATTCCATATGTGCAGGTTGTGGTGGCACTTCCCGGTTCATCATCCCTTTCTGGTGGTGTCAAGGGAGGAGACAACACGCCCAATCCGACTGCGTAGCCTATCCCGAGAGAATTATCATGTTGTGGTGACGCGTTTCTGGCCTTGTTCTCGCTTCGTTGTACACAGTGGCGATCTTGATGTTGGCGGGGCGTATCCTCCCTCTCCCCAAACTCCGACTCGGACAAGTCAACCGATGTAGAAGTAAGCGGGCTGACGCCGATGGCACCAGCCATGTGGATATTATCTTCGCCGTTATTAACCAAAGGAGTGACACTCCCGGGAGCACCAGGCGGTGGAGGAACTGGGAGGGGTTTCCATTTGGAGTTACTCCTCGTTAGTCCTCCTCCTTGACCTCCTCCCTGTGACTGGCCGTGTCCATGACCTTGACCGTGGCCATGTGCTTGACCCTTCCATGTCTCTTCAGGCTTAGTCACCCCCGTTACACCGCCGTCTTTCTTGTCGAGCGAAGAACTCGACGAAGAGTTTGATGGGATCCGTAAGGGGGCTGGGTGGATACTTCCATCACTTTTCGTATGTCTGTGCTGCTGTTGACCCTCGCCCCTCTCACTCCCCTCTTCCCTCCGGCTTCCTTCATGTCCACTCCCCAAATCCTTTAACTGCGGTCGCTCATGCAGTTCCGGACTAACAGGTCTACTAGGCTTTCCCGTCGCGATAGCAGTAGCAGGCTTAGTAATAACCGTCAATGACTCAGGCGGGTCATGATAAAGATCCGACCACTGCGTGATGCGGCTATCGATGCTGTTGGCGCGGCTGCTGCGCGTCTGACTCTGATGACTGGTTGGGGCAAGGAAGTTGGCAGACAAAGAAGAGGAGTGAATGTGACCCTGGTGACTCTGGACATGCCCGTTGGATTCGAGACGACCGCCGCCTAGGTGGATGATTTCGAGGGTTTGGTGGCCTGAGTTTGAGGAGGTGCGGCTTGGTTTTGGTTTTGACTCGGTTCTTGTGTATGTTAGTTGGGTTTGGTCAGTGGTAGCCCGGGAGATAGGGCATATGATGGAAGGGGAAGAGGAAACGGAAGGGGAAGGGGAAGTGGAACATGAAGTGGAACGGAAGTGGAAGTGGAAGTGGAAGTGGAAGTGGAAGTGAAAAGGTGAGGAGAGATGTGAAATGAAGACATACCGACTAGAATTCGACCTCTTCACCCACTCCCTCACTCTCTGAGTGGACTTGCCGCCTCCAATCATCCTTGATCCAAGACCTGCTGAGCCTGAATCTGACTGAGGTGAAAGCCTGTTCAGTGACGGTTGTTGTTGTTGACTTTGACTGTGATTTTCCGCACCCGCACCCCGTTGTTGATGCCTATTTTGGGATGAGGAGGAGGTAGAAACGGTATAAGTGTTTGACCTCTTTGGGACATGCAAGTTCTGGTCAGAGGTAGGATGGTTGTAAGTGTGACCCCTCGAACTATGAGAGGGTAAGGGAGGTAATTCCCCATTTAACGATTCCGGGATGGTCTCCATGTTGTTATACCGGTTGACAAAAAGGTACTCGGCAATGGTGTGTGGTGTCTGAGTCGGATTCCTAGCCGTGGCTGTCGCGGCTGTTGCTGTTGCTGCTGGACTTGGCAGTGTCAGTGTCGTAGTCGCAGTCGTAGTTGTCGGCTGTACCTGTTGCGGCGATGGTGCTGTCATTCTGCATTCCAACCCCAGCATTCATTCACAAGCAAGGCAGTAAGCAAGGGCTGGCTACCTAGCGGATGGCTGGAAGGGATCACGATGATCACCGCTTCGGTCCGGTAAGTTGAGTGTGGAGTGTTGCAATGAATGGCGCAATACTACCGGCGCGTTTTCCCAGTAGTCAGATTCCTTCGTGTCTTGGTCTTGGTGGGTGTGTCTTGGTGATGTGCAGAAGAACTACAAGATGGGTGTGTGAGGGAGTTCTAGTCCTAGGCTCAGGCAGGCGGGTGAGGAATTGAGCATGGTAATATATTGAAGCAGCGCCAAGGTTCCATTCGCGTGCCTATTTCGGCCATACTGGAACTTTGGGCTCCGGATCGCGTCTTCTGACGGCGGGCTGGACCTTGTTCATGGATATGTTTCGGAGCTTTCGCTTGGTTCGTTTCGAGTTTCCTGCGCCGAATGGGGGGGGAAAATGCACATCACTTCACTGGGTGAACGGTCGTTCGTTCGCCCCATGGTTTGTCTGGTATCACAATGGGCTTGGTGATGATTTCGGCGGCGCCCCTTTCGCTGATGTTTGGAAACATCCTGGGTTCCGTCGTATGAGTGGTCGACGTTGTTTCAAGCTTCCCCTACAAGGGCCCCGTAGCTGTGGGTGTCCATGTGGTTTCCGGGCGAGGAAGGGAGCCCATTGGCTACATGGTCATCAGACTAAACCCAATCAATCTCGAGGGTTCCAGCCAATCCGAGATCTCAAACGTCCAGGAGGTATATCAACCTCTACTAAGAAACGTTGATGAACGGCTTCCATTCGGGAGTCAGAAGTGTCCATCGTCGGAGATTCACAGATTACGAGATAAGCAATGTTTTGTGAAGTGATGAGAAATGTGTGGTGTCTGACGCACCTGTGAAACCTATTCAACAATAAGCAGACCGCTTCCCCAACGCCTTGATGCCTGTATAGCTAATATCTATCCGATGAACTCCAAGCCAATGCCCTTTCTCATATCGATCATGAACTCATATCATGCCTCTAAAGTTCCGTAATTGCCGTGATCTGCCGAGGTTCCCGTGACAGGTCTTCTCCTCAGCAGTGAATCGCCCTCGGCAGAAGGAGTAACCCTCGCGGAAATCTTTCGATACCGAATAACTTCCGCCCCAGTCTCATCAATAGCCTTCTCAGCCACAAGCTCATAGCCCCCAAACTGAGGCAGGACCTTGGTCCACCCGACCCAGTACACAGCACCGAGGCCAAGGACTCCGGTGCCAACAAGCGGGAAAGCGTAGTATGGGTAGCCATCGGCATTCCAATCGTCGTTGGGTGGGATGAATGGGGTGATGGCAAGGAAGAGGTTGAGGCAGAGGTAGATGAAAACCACTGGTAGCCAGGTGTGCCAGGGTGAGCTCCATCCTTCGGTCTTGCTGAGCCGGAGGTAGATAAGGCCACCGGCGACGAGGCCGTTGATCCAGGCGCCAGGATATGTGTATCTGATGGCACGTTAGAGGGATTCACAGCAATCAGGAAGAACCGTACGTACAAATTGACAAGGAAGTTGTAAGCGGGTCCGGGAGGAGGCCCGACAAGGACAATGACAGTCACGATCCAGTGAAGTAGCAGCTATCACAAAGTCAGAATGACAACACTAGCAGACGACTTGAACAACTCACTGAAGCAGCAGGCGTCTTGAACGGCTTGGTCGACGCCCAAAACTTGCTTCCAGGCAAGATGCCTTCCTTGGCGAGCTCTTGATTAACTCTGGAGTGCGTAAAGCTCACGGCCAAGACATTGCCAATGTTGCTCAAGGCCACAAGAGCCGGTAGACTTCTGGCCGCAGCACTCTCTCCAAACATGTTGCGGAAAAAGAGGCCCGCCACAATGACCTCCGACTTGGCCAGCTCAGCCTTGGGAATAGCAGCGAAGTAAGCGACGTTGGCGAGGACGTAAAGGATGGTCACGCCAACAACCGCCAAGGGTGCCGCAATTGACAGTGTTCGTTTTGGGTGCTTCAGCTCGCCCATCACATAGTTGGCGTTCTCCCAGCCCTTGTAGCTGTAAACAACCTGAAGGAGGGCAGTGGCGTATGCATATGCTCCACCGCCCCCAAAGCCATCGCCCTTTTCGATAGACCATATGTCGTCAAAGTTATGAGGGTCGGGAACCCGACGATGGCCAGCCAATGCAGCAAAGCCCGAAAAGACAATCAGTAGTAGGACTACTACCTTGAAGACTCCCAGGGCGTTGGTGAGCCTCAAGCCCCATTTGGGAAAGACGGAGTGAAGGAATATGACGAAAGTGATGCACAGCACGGCAATGGTGCGGGCCGGCCATCCGTCAGGCAGGTCGTATCCTAGGGCCAGCAAGACATAGCGGCCAAAAGCGAGCGAGTTTCCGGCAGAAAAGCCGAGAAGGACCATCTGGACAGCAAACACGGAAGTGACGAGATAGACGGGTTGCCGGTATACTCGTTCGAGGTGTTCTTTTCGCCTCCGGATTTGGGGATGGCTAGGCCGAATTCCAGATAGACGCTGAGTCCGGACAGTGTCAGAAGACCAGCGACGCCCCACATCAACAGGCAGATACCGACGGAGCCCGTGGAAGCGAAGATGCTGGATGGCGTTGAGAATATGCCAGTTCCGATCATCTTGTTTAGGATCAGAAACACTGCGCCAGTGACGCCGATTTTCCTTGACTCTGGTACTCCATATTCCAGGGAATCTTCGGTAATGGGTACGCCGTTGATGTCGAGGATCTCGCTAGCAGCAACACTGCTGATACTGGCGGCATCAAGGTCCGACGATGCCAAGGGCTTGGGCCCTTTTCGGTCGGTGCCCATCGTTGTTGTGTTGGATGCTCAACGGTGAAAAATGAGTTTTGTCAAAACTTAAATGCATAAACAAGTAAATGCCAGAGGCTCAAAGAGATGACGGGGATGTGCTTGGTGGCGCGTTAACCAGACGGGATCATGGGATTTGACACAATGTTAACAGTCGGCCTCTTTTAAAGGACCTTGACAAAGCACAAAAAGCAAAAATATCTTGACAAGACACTTGTCGGTGAGTCAGGAAACATCGATATGTCGACATTTTGATATCGGTGATATGGCAGCAGGGTAGATGACAAACCACCAAGTGATGGTGGTGATCACTAGGCCGATGGCGTGCTCATGGGAAGCGATTTGCAGTGGTTGCACGAGGACCAAATCCACCGAGCACCATTCCCGATCCGGAAGTTGATTGTGTTCCCGGCCAGAGGACGTCTGCCGTTCAACCGGAGTACGCCGGGGGTGTCCCGGCCGGAAGTTGATATCAGTGCTGACTCCGTGTTCCGGAGCCGGATGGAGTTAGATTTGATTCGGTCTCGGGCCTGCACTGGCAGTTGTGTTCGTGCTCTTGGCATTGTTGAAGAGCCATCTTGGAAATCTTCAGATGAGGGACAGCGAGGGGTGCGATATGGACCAAATGACGGAATGGATGGCGAATCTAAGAAGGCACAAAAAAATAGATATGTAACGAAGAGAGATAGGAGCCGGGATGATATCGTCGATGCCAATGCCGATTCAATTATGGCCGTTGAAGTGAGGTTGGAGATGCGTGAGATGTTACGGACGGACTCCATCCGAGCGTGTCATTGCGCGGTGGACGATGAAAGAGACGAAACCACTCACACGTCTCGACGGCCCGGCAACTGTCCAGCAAGTGGAAAGGCATTTCCCGGCTGGCAGCGCACTGCAACTGGCGTGCCTGGGCCGGCGCTCCCGCCTTACCGACCCCTGCTCAAGGGCCCACTAAAAAGATGTCGCCCCTCTTCAGCGCGGTGACTCTTTCAATCCGCCCTGTTATCGGCCCCGCTATCGGCTGGCCATTGGATTCCGTTTGTGAAGCCATCTTCAGTCGCGAATCCCAACTCAGACACGCGCCGCCCGTCGATTGTTCTTTTCCCAATTATCGCGACACAAGCGACACAAGCGACACCTATAATCACCATGACCACCGATTCCACTCTTGCCGCGACGGCCGATGCCAAGCTCGCCATCTCTGGCGACAACAAGTTGACCAAGGAGCAGCAGCTTGCCCTCATCAACGTCAACTTGGCCGAAGTCCTCAACCCCGAGATTATCGAAAAGGTCATTGACGAAGGCCGCGCCCCGAGGATCTACTGGGGTAATTAGACTCCACCAATATGTCATCGGAAGAACCTAGGCTAACCATTTGCTCCCGTCTACAGGAACTGCCACTACCGGTCCGTAACCTTGTCGCAAACCGTTTCCCATGATCGCGACACCTAGCTGACACCCAAAAAAGGCCGTCCTCACTGCGGCTACCTAGTTCCCGCCATCAAGATCGCCCAATTGCTCGCCGCCGGCTGCCATGTCATCGTCCTCCTTGCCGATATCCACGCAGTCCTCGACAACCTCAAGTCCACCGTCGAGCTCGTTGGCTACCGCGCCAAGTACTATGAGCGCACCATCACCGCCCTCCTGAAGGCCGTCGGTGTGCCTACCGACAAGCTCGAGTTCGTCCTTGGTAGCTCCTACCAGAAGAGCCCCGACTACATTATGGATGTCTACAAGCTCGCGACCCTTGTCTCTGAGCACGACGCCAAGAAGGCGGGTGCTGAGGTTGTCAAGCAGTCCGACAACGCTCCTCTTTCCGGTCTCCTCTACCCCATCCTCCAGGTTCTCGACGAGGAGTACCTCAAGGTTGATGCTCAGTTCGGTGGTGTTGATCAGAGGAAGCTATTTGCTGCTGCTAAGGACTGGCTTCCCAGGTTGGGCTACAAGGAGGTAGGTCATACGCTTCAGGAACCATACCACGTAGCAGTGCTAACATGTTATAGCGCGCCCATATCATGAACCCCATGGTCCCCGGTCTCCAGGGCTCCAAGATGTCTTCCTCCGACCCCGACAGCAAGATCGATCTCCTCGACGCCCCCGAAGTTGTCACCAAGAAGATCCGTAAGGCCGAGGCTGCCCCCAAGGTCACCGAGGGCAACGGTCTCATCTCCTTCATCGAGTACGTCCTGCTGCCCGCGGCTCAGCTTCTCGGCAAGGAGGGCTTCCGCGTCGACCGCTCGCGCGACAACCTCGAGGACCTCGTCTACACCGACATTGCCAAGATCAAGGCCGACTACGAGAGTGATGTTGTAAGTTGCCCATTGCCCGCCCACCTTTATTATGAAGATACTAACATCACACACAGCTCACCCCCAACTCGTCAAGCCCGCCATCTCCACCGCCATCAACGAGCTCCTTGCCCCCATCCAGACTGCCTTCCAGGCCAACCCCGAGTGGCAGGAGATTGCCGAAAAGGCCTACCCTCCCGAGGTCAAGGTTAAGAAGGAGAAGAAGGTCAAGAACAAGGGTAGCCGCTACCCCGGTGCTGCCCCGGCTAAGCCCCAGGAGGCTGCCAAGGAGGAGGCTACTCCTGAGCCCGCGACGGAAAACGCATAAAGGCATAGACTGCATAGAATGTGTTTACGATTTTCTTGCATCTAGCGTCTTTCTGTTTTTTGTTGATCATGTTTGGCTGGGTTTTGCAATGTATGGTCTGGTAGATAAAGGGAGTTATAAAAGTGTATAATGTCAGGGTTCGTTTCTGGGTCGATCGCTCTCATTCGTCGATATCGATACACATGAGCGAAGGGGGTGTGTACGGGGCTCTGGTTATGCTTCTTCTCGAGGCACAATGACCCCGATGGCCGCATTATCTGAGGCTTGGTGTTGAAGCGTGTGAAGAAACATATCATACCTCAACCCTACTGGAAGGCCAAATCTAACAAGCCGGGCCTGATCCCTCCGCAGCGCGAAAGTCAAACTCGAGAAAAACTATCGACTATCGAGCCGTGATTTCAACCAGCAGTGATTATCTTCCACATCCCGAGCAATGGCACACACATCTCCAGCATTACAAGAACCGGGGTCCAGAACAATGACCGCAGGCAGCCTTCTCGTCTTGTGACAGTTGCGACAGTGAATTCGAGCCCACACGAGGTATGGACACAGCGACACGATACATTGCGATACCATCAACAGCACAAGAAAAGCACGCATCTAAATAACAGACGCGCAAGACTCCGAAGAGGCAAGAAAGCATTTCTACGAGTGAATAAATGTAGATCTCAGAATGAAACCACCGCCAGACTGATTAACTGACGTTAGAGATTAACGAAGGATCATTTCTTCTTGGAGCGATCCATGAGAACCAAAGCCCTCATTGCCACATTACGCACTGCTCACTGAAGAAACCCAATGCTATGGCTGGAACACCCCGACTATCTGAAGAAGAAAAGGAGAAAAGAAAAATCCAAGAATTCGCGACGCGCGCGATTTGTAGATATAGTGTTGGAGAGGTGCGGGTGGTCTGTGCGCATTTGGGGGGAAGTGGGGTTGTGTAGTTCTGGGTGGATTGGGCGGGTGTGGTCACGTGCTGCTACAGGGCGGCTGCCGGAAGTCTTGGAACTGACGGGACGTGTGAACTTAAGACTTTTGGAAGGGAGACGAGAAAATGATGACGACCCCGACAGAGGGTTAGGGTCAGTATTCGAATTAGCTTTTCTGTAATTGGTCGCATTCATACCGAGGTGCCGAGAGCTCCAGATCCCGATGTGTCTGGCGGGCAGGGCAACAGCGAGCGCAGCCAGCGCGGGAGTGCGGTTCAGTTCTCACAAGGCGCGAACGGGTCCCGGGACGTCCTCGGGAAATGGAACATCATTGATTGACCGGATTGACGAACATCACCCAAATCCACACCTTGGATTCCATCCATTCCGTTTCCACATCCACCCCTTCCGCGCCGACCTTCCCTCCAATCGATCCCGGTAGACAGACAGACAGCCTTCTGAAAGTCGTCCGTCCTCCGATTCACATCTGCTTGCCCCAAACCACCAACCATCACACCTTAATCCCGTCGTCACTCTCGTCGTCGTCGCCAAAATGATTGCTCAGCGCGCTGGTACCACCGCCCTTCGCCGGGGTATGTCTATACTTTTTTCTCTTTTTTGTCTATTGTCTTGTCTGTCACCGATATGTTGCGCATTGGGTGTGCAGACACATGCAATGATGCAATATCTATTCGCATCCCATCCTATCCCATCCTGTCCTATACCTACCTACCTCCCGTCCCCGGACCTATGCGGCATTCTCCTCCTCCCCCTCCCCTACCCGTGATATACCGTGACAAGAAACATGGAATAGAAAGGCTAACCGCGCTTCTTTAACAATTCACAGTGGCCGCTGCCCCTAGCAGCGTCTTCAAGCTTGCTACTCCCCTTGCTATGCAGACTAGGTAGGCAACCGATCCCCTCCCACTCTCTCTCGAAGAAGACGAATGTATACTCTCGTCCTCCTCCGCCGTCACCGATGTCACGATCCGCGTTCTCCGGCCCATTCTCTCCGGGGCTCCGGTGGCTATGCACAACACATTCTGCCCGTCATCATGGTTACCGGTCGCGATATATCCAAAGGAAGAAAGAGGAGGAACATCACCAATGGCACCAGCCGGCGCAAGACTCAGAAGGAAACAACCGAGATACCCGGCGGGACACGCGCCCAACCGCCGAACTACCCGTCACCACCAAACCAGCCAACACAGCCAACACCAATATTGCCAGCACCAGCTACCATGACGAACCACCATTTCCTTCCGCCAACACCGGCAAACACAACCTACCACACCCACCACCACCACCTCGAACCCAACCGCATGAACCTCTACTAACGCCACCCCTTCTCGCCTCCACAGAACCTTCCAAACCGACAAGCTCACCCCCGCCGACGCCTCCGCCCTTCTCGCCAAGCAACGTCTCTCCCGCCCCGTCTCTCCCCATCTCGAGATCTACGACCCCAAGCAGACCTGGTTCGGCGGCTCGGCGTGGCAGCGCATCACCGGCGCCTCCTTCTCCGGCGCCCTGTACGCTTCCGCTGTCGCCTACCTGGCCGCTCCCCTCGTCGGCTGGCACCTCGAGTCCTCTTCCCTCATTGCCGCTGCCGCTGCTCTCCCCGTCGCCGTCAAGGGCGGTCTCAAGTTCCTCGTTGCTTGGCCCTTTGTTTTCCACGCTATCAACGGCGTGAGACATTTGGCTTTTGATGTCGGTGTGGGCTTTGGACGCAGCACGATTATCAAGACTGGTTGGTATTTCTGGGGCGCCAGCATTGTTGGTGGTTTGTACCTTGCTTTCTTCATGTAAATTGCCTTTTTGACTTGACAAAAGGTGGTTTGCTGAGGGGATAGAGTAAAGGGGGGTTGGAAGGAAGGAAGATTGAGGGGAAAGGAAGGACAGAGAGGGGAAAGAGAAGGACTCTTGGACAAATCCTGCGGATCCACGGAAAAGATTGGAGAGAACGGGATTCCATGTTGTATGAGTACCTAAGTGAAGAGGTGTTGAACGAATGGAAACATTCACTTTTTTTTTTCTTCGTGTGAAGCACTATTTATGCGATTTTGCTGTCCCGTTCAAACAATCATGAATGCGTACATATGTGATAAGAGTGTGTTGGGAGACAAGCAAGCTCAAACTGTTCGAGTGGTCCATGACGAGCGTTCGACATCAACTCCAGTCACTGGACGAAGGAATGTCAAATCGTTCAGTTGTCAAAGAGTGACCTCGGCCGACATCCAGGAACGCGGAAGATCCGGAAAGTGAACGACTTTAACACCGTATTTTAGTCTTATGTATGGGGGAAAAAGCAAAAGGAACAGAAAAGGCATTTATGTAAAAAGCAAGAGCAAAAGCAATAACTGCACTTGGATGTTGCCAGTGTCCCCAAAGTTTCCTTGCGTATACGATGTTAGTTAACCATCAGACTGATTTTGTATCCGAACTAACCAATTTCATTCATCGTACTTACTCATTATTTGCGTACTCATCTAAAAACCAAACTAAACCCAAACGCCACGCTGTGTGTGATAAAGATAACAACAAAAAGCAGCAGTAAAAATGAAGTCCAACAACTTCGTGAATAGCGTGTTTTGCCGACCGTTTTTCCTCCCCTGTGAGAAGTCTCGATTACTCATCCTAGAGCTCAGGCCTCACTCACTCACTCACTCATACTGAGGAGTGCGTCCCATCGTTTGTGTGCTTGCACCAGAACTAGGAAGACCACTCTCAACTTCCTCACGCACACCAAAGGCCTGGGGGGTGCCAAAAGCCTGGGACCTTGCACCAGTACCAGTCTTGAACCTGTCCTCAGCTTCGTCGCTAACCCCCATACTCAGCCCTCCGTTCCTCTGCTCCTCCAATACACGCCGGGCATTTTCATCAGCCTGGGTAACCTACTCCAAATGCCTCACCTCCAAAATCCCGCGGTTCAAATGCTGGTTCCCCAACCTCGCCACCCGCTCGCCAATCGTCCTGCCCAAAAACTCAATCACCAGCTGACCCTCCCTATCGAGCTCGTCCATGTCCGCGACATTAGGCAGGAGAATCCCCTCCACCAGCGTCTCTATCGCTTTCATGATGCCTCCGACTAGCGCTTCATACTCGAAGTGGCTTGCCTCGCCCTTTTCGCGCAGCGGGGTGAGGATACCCTCGTCGAACATCCTTAGGTTCGGCAGAACTAGGATACGCACCGCCTCCGGGCCGCCGGCGGCCGCGAGACCGCTGATGGCGCCGTAGAGAACGGCGGGGGACTTGCTCGGATCGAGGAAGAACTTGAGGCAAGTACGCGTGAGTTTTGGGCGGAGGAGAGCGTTGGTCTTGCTGTATTTCCTTGCTATGGTACCCAGCAAACTGGCGGCTACTTCGCGGAGACGATACTGGTCTTTGAGAGCATCGGTGCCTTCGAGACTGGACTCGGATCCGCCTAGCTTGCGGGCCATGAGGCAGGTCAGGACAGGGGCGGCGAGCGAGGAGGCGTACGGGTCGAGGAAGATGGAGGGGTTTTCGAGGATGGCGCCTGTCAGCTCCATCATTTGTCGCAGGACGAAGAGGTCGTCGAGTCGGTGCGTGACTTGGTTGTTGATGAAGGAGACGAAGTAGGGGACTAATTGGTGAAGACCGGGGTCGGAGCGGACGGAGTCCAAGGCCGCGGAACGCAGACGCGTCTTCTCTTCGTCGGGATCGTCGTCAAGGATGGCGGCTTGGACTTTATCGAAGTAGAGGATGAGTTCCTTGCTGATGACGTGCTTGACCGCGGGGCGGAAGGCGACGTTGTCGTTGCCGGCCAGGGCGGCCACGGCGGGGTTGGCGCCGGGACCCTTGGGCAGCAGGTCTTTGGAGGAGGTCTCGCCTGTGGTGGGGTTCTGGGGGATGGAGGGTTGGACGCCGTCGATTGCGAGCCAGTGGGCTGGAAAGACAACGGTTAGCTGAGGTCAAGGTGACTCTTGAATCATGTGAAGCTCACCGGTAAAGCTCATGTCGCGGGGCACCTTTGGTAGAGGAGCGTTGATGACCTTTTCAAAGTCCACCTCCTCGTCTTCAATGTAGAACAGCGGTTGACCGGGACCAATGCTGGCTTCCCCGTAGCGAAGCGGCCGCGTGGAATCGTATCCGTAGAGAGGCTCGACGTCGAGAACCCTCAGAGCTTGCGAGACATCTTGTACGGTCAGAGTCGTGCGGTTTGCGGCGCGCATGAATCGTAGGGCCTCGACGACGACCTGGCCAATTCGGTATTCGACATCTTGAGTGAGGACGCGGAGGGGCTCTTCGGTCAGGTTGATTCCTATCGACTCGGCGACATCCTTGACGTTCTCGGGGTTCCAGAGGAGCTTTGGTCCCTCCCCTGCCATTGTTCGCGATTGCGTTGGTTTGTACTGGTGATGGAGATCGCGGGTGTGTGTGGTGAGAGCGTTGTCTTGAAATGGCCGAGTCAAGTCGCGTTCTCCGGTGGTGTTGCTCGCTGTAGAATGATGTACAGGTCAAGTTCACGGTATGGACAAGGGCAACTGACGAACCACAAAGAGGGGCCCCGCAGTGGGACCTGAGTGGTTCGTGCCTGGCCAGCCTAGCCAGTTAGGGTTAGCGCTTGGCGTTCAGTGCAAGGTGCTCCACACGTCTCGACGACGTCCATCGACTTCATCTCTCCAACTTCAACTTCACCTTTCCATCACTCGTCATTATCGTCCATGTTGACGGCTGAAGCTGCGGTTGAGGCGCACTTATTATATTTTTGCCTTTTTACCTTCATTCCTGTAACATTGCCTTATCTTATTCTGCCGCCGAATCGAAGCCGTTTGCGTTCCCGCCCACCTGGAGTCCCAATCACTCTTGTCGATGGCATCAACCTTTGCAGACCAAGGCCACTCGTCAATATGCATTCCATCCCAAGTCTCGCTTTATAATTACTCCCAGACTCTTAGCTGGCGGTCTTTCGTCTTGACTCCTTCCGAGAAATCCTTTTCCTGGTCATTTCATCGAGTTGTTGATGGGTGAAACACCTTTGGTTTGTGTTTCTCTACACTGGTTGCTGGCTGCCACTCTGTCTTCATGTGCTCATCAATTTCCGCAAGTGCCTGCTCGTCTCTCTAATATCCTTCGTTCATTGCTGCTATCTTGTACTGGTCTTTAGGAGGCTGTTGTGCCTTTTTTCAGACATTCTGCAGGCCTTCCTCGTCACACTCCGGTAACTTGAGCTGGTATTGGAGGGTAGCATTTAGCGGCTCAAAGTCAGGCTCGCACGTGGAAATATCACCCCATTGAGTTTTGACTTTTCCTAAGAGGCAGGAAAGTTCCGTTCTGCTTTGATGTTTTCGTTCACAGGATATGCGGGATCCTGAGCCGACAGAGAAGATCCGCATGCCCTTGTCACGGAGCTAGTTGTTCCATGAATCAGTGGCTAAATGCCATCAAACGTCCTTTATCCCGATATCCTTATTAAACGCTCATCGCTCCTACATATCCATGGTACTCTAGCCGAAGAATTGCCAGTTACCATTGGCTCCTCTCCCGCGGAATAGGTGTTGCGCATGTTGCCGGCGCTGTGTACTTGGGAGATTACACGAGAAAAAGCCAAAACACACAACCAATAGGACTCTTTGGATGCAGAGAAAACCACCTGGCCCAGTGATCGCCAGTCAGAGATGAGTGCAAAATTACAGTGGAAAAGTCAAGCGAAGATGCGCAACATGGAAAAAGAAAAAGAAAACCAACGACTCACAATAGGGAGCATCTTCCGGGCCTCGGGAACGACTGGAACGATTTCCATGTATGATTGAACTCGGGACCTCTTGGTGCACCAAGAAAGAGGCCACTCACGGCACCAGTTGACCAGTTCCGAGGCAAGACGAAAGTTTAGTCTGGACATCCGGCTTATCAAGGGCACCTGATGTCCAGGTTGCGTCCAATGTCGTTGGCCCTTGGAAGGGCCAGCCAACCTGTGTGTTGGCGTCTGGAAACAGCACCGTCACGGCATTTAAAGCTTCGATCTTGCGGTCCGGACGAGCCGTTGGCTGGGTCGGTACCCGGTCGTGTCTTCTTTAGGTTCTGCCGCGGCGTGATGCGAGCCAAGATATTTCATGGCCTGGATCAGCAATGATATACAAGTACCTTGACGACCGCTCGACCCATGGCCAACTTGCAGCACGGGATTAAACCACCTTGCTTACTGCCATAGATTAATCTTCCGACACGCCAGTCAAAGGTCCTGCGTCTTTGAGGCGTTCAATCCCGCAAGGCGAAAGATCTCCGACCGCGACCGTCGATCAACACTTCCACCCCTGATCGTTAGAATAGTCAACATGAGTCGGCAAAACACCTACGTGATCCGATACACTGCTCAGCAGACTGTAATCGCATCTCGTGGAGGAGGAAGGGACCTATAAATGGGCAGACAGCCGTATGATCAGTTCAAGAGTGGTTCGATCATCCGCTTTCACCCTTTCTACTTCGGGGTCCCGATGACAGACGGCAACGGCAACAAGCTGGTGGTCGGCCCCAGATTGGGCATCGAAGCGAGTATAACTCAACCTGCATTTCCCCAGACTTCTCCACGTTTTCTATACATAGACGTCTTCCAGAACCAGGACTCAGCGACCTGCCATAAGCTTGCCAAGATCATTACATACATCTTTGTCATACATCGGTCCCGTATCACGTTACAACACAGCAGTTCTCAACGTCATGTTACCCTTTATAGCACTTCTACCCATTGCAGGCTTGGCAGCAGCCGCAGACATCTCGCCCTTCGAAAAGGCCGATATCCTTACAGACTGCCTCACCCAATCTAGTGTCCCCTGGAACACTCGCGGCTCCAACGACTGGAAACTAGACGCCGCCCCTTACAACCTCCGACTAAACTTCACACCAGTCGCCATCGCCGTTCCCACCACCGTCAAACACATTCAGGATGCGGTAGCCTGTGCCTCCAAAACAGGGGTAAAAGCCAACGCCAAGTGCGGCGGACACAGCTATGGCTCGTTTGGCCTCGGAGGAGAAGACGGTCATCTTACTATCGAGCTGGATAGGATGAATAAGGTTGTGTTGGACAATTTTACTGGCATAGCAACGGTAGAAGGAGGATCAAGGCTGGGACACGTTGCGTATGAGCTTTACAACCAAGGAAAACGGGCGTTTAGCCATGGGACTTGTCCAGGGTAAGCTTCTTCTCCCCTTTTCCCCCTTCCTTTTACTCAACACCGAAGCTGACAGCCCGCAGCGTCGGAGTAGGCGGCCACGCCCTCCACGGTGGCTACGGCGTCTCCTCGCATACGCACGGTCTCGCTCTCGACTGGCTCGACTCCGCTACTTTAGTCCTCGCCAACTCATCCGTCGTCACCTGCTCAGCCACTCAAAACCCCGATCTCTTCTGGGCCCTTCGCGGGGCCGGCGGTTCTTTGGGAGTGGTCACCGAGTTCCGCTTCAAGACCTTCGCCGCGCCCGAAAAAGTAACGTTCTTCATCGCCCAAGCGCCCTGGAAGACGGAGCAGCAGGCTCGTGAGGGGATGACTGCTCTCCAGGACTTTGTGAATGATGGTGAGAAAATGCCCAGAGAGTTGAATATGCGGCTGTTCATCACGAATAGGTTCGTTAATTTTGAGGGGCTTTACTATGGGGATAAGGCCGGCTTGCAAGGTGTACTTGGGCCGTTGTTGAAGGCGACGAATGCTAGTTTGGTATTGAGCCAGCAGGGGGGTTGGTTAGATCAGGTGAAGCATTTCGGGAATGGAGTTAACTTGGATCAAGGACATCCTTATAGCATGGTAGGTGTTCTCTCTTCTCTGTTATTCTTCGGTCAAGTTCCCAATTCTCTTCACCTATCCTCTTTCATCCCATCCTTTCCATCCATCTTTCCATTCACCCCAAAGCCTTTAAACCCCCATCAACCCACATCACTAACGAACATCAAGCACGAAACCTTCTACTCCTCCTCCCTCTACACCAACGCCCTCACGCCCTCCCAACTCTCCGCCTTCACCTCCTACTGGTTCACCCACGCCAAATCCAACAAGCGCGACTGGTACGTACAAATCGACGTGCACGGCGGCCCGACCTCATCCGTGACCATTCCAGAAGTGGACTCCACCGCCTACGCCCACCGAAACTACCTGTTCATGTTTCTCTTCTACGACCGCGTCGACAGGGGCGTGTATCCAGCCGAGGGCTTCGCGGCGATCCAGAACTTTGTGGGAAATGTTACCGATAAGATACCTGTCGAGGAGTGGGGAATGTATGTCAATTATCCAGATCCGCAGATGAGTAGGGAGGCGGCGCAGAGGAATTATTGGGGCAAGCATCTGGAGAGGTTAAGGAGTGTGAAGGGAGAGGTGGATCCGGGGGATTTGTTTAGTTATCCGCAGGGGGTTGTGCCTGCTGTGTGAGTGAGAACGGTAATGTTGATTGGTGTGAAGAAGATCAGTGGCTGAGTGGCCGGCCGCTTGAGGTTGGGCACCTAGGTATACATGTGAGTCGGGGCATCTGGTATCTCGAACTTCATGAGTCTTGTAATTTCAAGGATACCCAGGTATTCATTTGGTCAGTGATCGAAGCTGAACACCTACTCACCTCTTCAAGCTCGCACGATGCCATTGATACTGTTACCAGGCCCATCCGTGCATCTAAGCTTCAACTTGAGAACCTTAGAATGTTAACTCATCTTTGATAGCAACCAGCCTTGCGCAACCAGCCCTTATGACGCCCTTCACCACATCATTGGCTCGGAAATTAATGCTTTATATCTCTATGCGTGGCATCACCAGCCACAGCGACTATCCTCTTAAGGATACGCTAAAGCCATTGGTTAGGGAGATGTTTATGCCGAGTCGAGAGACACCCAGTTTTGTAAGTTGAACACTCGGTGTTCCCTAGGTACATTACTCTCCCAAATACCCCAAGACAGAAAGCCCAGAAGCAAGCCGCTGACACCACATCAACTTCGAAAGCAACTGCTTCTCACCAATCATCCGATGAGGAGGATGATTTCACTCAAGATGTCACAGCTTTAGACAAGCTCAAGCAACATGAAGCCCACAACTACTTGAACAAGCACAACAAGACCACCGCGACAGAGACCATCGCAATCTTTCTTCGCCACCTATCTGTGGAATCACCTTGACGCGATCCATCATATTTTCTGAAAGGGAAATGGCAGGCACCTTGAGTGAGGTATTCTGTAACGAGCCCCGGCCCAGGTTTTCTTTATGTGTGGTGTATCTTGTAGAACGCCGTTTTGCTGGAACTCAACTGGAGTTTTGAACAAAACCCGGACGGTATGGTCACTGCCCAAAAGCTCAGCAAAACCACTCTCTTCATGCCTGATCATAACCACGGATTGCGAACCGAACATGCCGGAGGTTTGACAAGGTTTTTCGCCCACCATACCATACCTACCTACCTACCCGGCATTCAATCTGAACACTTTGATCGCATGGCAGCCGCCACTCCAGTCAACATGAGCTCGTCCTATCACCTTCAATTCTCACAATCACCCCAACGACAATCACGATGACCAAACTAAAGGACCTAATCCTCTTTCTCTGCCGGCTTCACGGCGATATTCGCACCGTTGGTTGCCCCGCTGAACCACCAGACACCAGACCCCGTCATGAGCAAGATGATGAAGGAGTTGGTGGCAATTGGTCCACTGGACCCAATAGAATGTCAGAGAACATGGCATCGGTGCCAGTAGATATACCACCCACTTTGGCCTTCGGACAATCGAGTACAACGATGAGCGTCACCGGTACTGGTGCTGTTGGGGAGCACGACGAGCATCTACACCGGCCTTTCGTATTGTTTCTTCATCTCCAACTTGAAAGTGGAGAGGAAGTGTTGCCAGAGTGTGTTGCATCCGAAGGCGAACGTGTTGGACGTGCTGGACCTGACGAGCAGCAATACAGCAAGGAGCACGCGTTATCACCAAGAATCACATCAAAGAGTCTTCAAATTTTCAGTCATGGACAGCAGAAAAATTTGCCGTCAAACCACGTTCACATTTCATTCCGCTCCCAATGACGCCGACGCCAAAAACCAAACCGCCAACTCCATTTGCCCGTAAATGCTTCATGTTCTCAAAGCCAAACCAAACCCCGAACCCAAACAAACAAAGGGGTATCAAGTCCCAAACCAAAGAAAGGCCACCCACCCACAACACCACCCTCATATTGAGTCTGTGGCACTCCTCCTTCCACAAGCAACCCCCAACCGCCAACAATAACACCTTCCCATCCCACTTCCTCAGTAACACCTCCCATCCCAAAACCTCTCGTCCACGGCCCGTTCTCGAAAAGACAACACACAACCCATCCCGTCAAACCCGCCTAAACAACTCGACCGAATCCGTTCCCAGCGCAAGTCCTACCTAACGCCGCCACCCACCCACCACTGTTTCCACCTCTTCTACCAACCCCCTCACCCCTCCTACTGTTTCCACCCCTTCCACCACCGCCGCTGTTTCCACCCCTTCCACCATCTAACCACCCACCCAAAAACCACACCCAAGAACCAAAACCTCACTCAAAAGCAAGGCGCGAACCGCCCAACTTCGGCCGATAAAAAGATAGTCGTCGTCGTGTGCCCCCCAACCGCCGTCCAGCTCTGACCAGAAGAAGGGGCTTGTTGGGCACCCTTCCCTGGCCAGAGCCGGAGGAGACGGAAGAGGAGGCGGGGCCGGGAGAAGAGCCGGGAGCAGAGCCGGGGGAGCGAGGGGAGCCAGGGGCCGGCGAGCCGGGTCCGGGACCAAAACTGGGGCCGGAGCCGGGAGCAGAGTCGTCATCTTCGTCGTCGTCATCTTCTTCTTCGTCGTCCTCTTCCTCCTCGTCCTCGTCCTCGCTCTCCTCCTCGTCGGAGGAGGCAGAAGAGGAGGAGAGGCCAGGGCCGGAGGCAGGGGCAGACAACTTCCTCCTTTTGGAGGGAGGGCCGGCGTTGCTGCTGCTAGTGCTGCTGTTGTTGTTGCTGTTGTTGCTGTTGTTGCTGGTGCTGTTGCTGCTGCTGGGGCTGGGGCTGGGGCCGTCGGCCGGGCGCGCACGCTTGGCAGAGGCAGAGGCAGACGAGGGAGAGACGAGGGTGTCTGCTCCAAGCGCCGAGGGCTTCTAACCCCTGGACATTTGGGCATAGCCCCCGAACTCTCCGCTCGCCGCCGCGAGGTTGCCAAAGATGGTGTTGGCGACTGGAGGAAAAGAAAGGAAGTTAACAGGCAATTCGGATGGATTTGGAACTGATGCGCGGTATGGAATCAAGATGGCACATGCGCAACCATGGAGTGCCCTGGGATCCCACGATGCACGACGAAGTGGACAAATATCGGGATGATGAGGAGCAAAATGGGGCGTGGAGGGCAGATGACCAGATGAGCTGGCTCATACGGCAGGTGGGTAAGACAACAAAGGCCACCTCATCAAGCAATGCGCTCCGTGTGAGAGTTATGGTTGACCATGCTGACTGTTGTGGGTGATGCGATGGATGATGTAGATGTGTCTGAAGCAGAGGTGAGGCTCACGTCAAAAGACACTGACCCTTCACCCTGCAATAAGATGCTTCATGATGGAAAGAAAGGGCAGTATTGTGACCTGGAGGCAGGAGACAAAAGGGTGAGAATGGACTGAAATAACTTACCACGCGGAAGGTTGCTCCTCGGCTGAGGAGGCCACAGCCAGGGCGGCGGCTGGGGGTACATGGCCGGCTGGAACCGACCAGGCCGGGCCATGGCACGCTGGTGCTGCTGGGGCTGGGGCTGGGGAGCCGGCTGGGGGGTGCCAGACCTGGCAGTCGTCGCACCTCTCGTGGGCGCAGAAGACCAAGAGGTCCCCCTCATCCTGGTCGATTGCGTAGTCGTCGTCGAACGACGACGACCACTGCTCCTGGGCTGCCTCCTCGGCATCACGCGAGTAAGGTTCTCGATGAAGCAGCCAGTCGCAGTGGTCGTCGTCTCTGCTGCGGGCGGTGCACTGGCAGCAAACCCACTTGGAAGACATGGTGTGTGTGTGTGTGGTGTGGTGTGTTTAAAGAAGAAAGGCTGGTCTGGTCACGTCGCTGTGAGTTGAGTGATTCATTTTTGACTTTCCTCGAAAATTGAAAGGAAAAGAAAAAATGAGAAAGAGGAGGGCAAAAATCAGAGACCGGGTACTTATAGAAGAAAAAAAGAGACAGATTACGTGCCATTACGTGCCCTACCTTCCTGTCCGGTATTGTTTACTCGCAAGCTGTGCTGCCTATTGTCGCCCGTGTCCATAATTATTTTCAAGGGGAGGGGTTCATCTGAATTAGATCGGATGACGAGAGCGAGGAGAGATAAGACGAATCATCATGTTTGCTCTTTTCTACTTCTGGGCAAGAACCTCACGCACCTCCCTTGTTGACTTTGCACACGGTTTTTGGTCTTCGTGAGGGACTGGAATGGTCGACGGCAACTTTGCGCGCTTCTTCTTTTTCGAACGTTACTATAGCAAGATGAACCATTCTTTTCTCGCACTTCTCACATGAGCAATCCTGCAACTGTCATGACCAAGCAGTATCAACGTCCTCCTAAACATTTGCCATGAACCATTATCGGTAGCCTGTATTGGAAGCACAACACCATCCCACTTCTTCTCAAGACGTGATCGCGACCGTTAACCTTACGCGGCGCCTCGTCCTCTTGTCAAGGGCACCGGAGTGGGAGCAGCCTCTGCTCGTTTGAAGGCGCCATCGATCTCTTCTTTTTGTGAGGACGTAAAGATAAGGGATGAGAGGTCTATCGTCTAGCAAGTTATGTACATTAGCTACTGTTTGGTTCTTGACGTCCATGTAAAGCTTTCCAGACTTCCAAAAGAGACTCTCCCAATGTTGCAGTTCTGGGGGCTATCTTGCAAGCAAATCCTGCGAGAGTGCAAGAAGACCAGTGACTTGTCCCGAGAAACCAGGACCTTGGTTGATAGCATCTCGAGTCGAGACGGTAATCTGAGCCATGGCACTTCATCTGAAATGCTTCTACTCGTTAAAGAAAGCGAAGATGAATAACGTTTGTGAAACATGCAGCGCCTTATCTGTAGCTGATGGTGAGATGGAAACCGATGCTTGGTATTTTGATGATGTTGCCATGGAGATTCACACATGCAAGTAAACGGGTTGCATTATCCGAAGCAGGACAAGGAGTAGATAGCAAAAGATCGAAAAAGGGATGAACAAGAAGTCAAGGCATGGGTGGAAGTGGTTTGGTTGGATTCCCAGCTTTTAACCAGATTCTGAGAGAGAGAAGATTTGCCGGTGATGAGATGAAGAAAGTAACCTCAATGATGGTATATTGTGAATTTCACATGAGAGAGCAGCGTTAGAAATCTGAAAGGTGGTGCCGATGACGGAAGCTTAGGTAGATAGTAGGGTGACAAGAAGGTGAAAAGGCAAGGAGTGTGGTTGGCAGGGCACTTGTAAGAAGAACTCAGGAAAAGAAGCCCAGGTAAAAAATCCATGCACTGCCCATTAATGAAAAACTTCTCTGCATCTGTCCTTCTTCTTGGCCCTGCGCAGTTGGTTGAGGTGAGTTGAGCCTGCTCCGCGCCTTCCTACCGTTTCGCCGGCTCCCTGCTCCCAGATTCCTGTCATTTGAAAGGCGGGCCTTTAGGTTACTTAGTGCATAGGTTCCATTGCTTTGGTGCTCGGGCTGGCCCTTCTCATTTTTCTCAACAGCTTGAGTCAATATGGATGAGCCTGTCCCCCAACAGTGACTGCCCCGCTGTCTGAAATAACGGCAATGAACGGGCGTGGGCCACGACTTTTACAGAGACCTGTCCAACTTTTGCGCCGATGGAAATGATCAGGGCATTTTTGTTCTCGTAAAGTAGTCGATGCCTCGTTGTGCAAGTGGTGGCAGTATCGTATCTTCGATTGCCCAACCGAACATCAACTTTTGTCCGGTTATAAATTTTGTCGGTATGACAGTTTAACACTGTCACTTCCACCATCTAAACTTTTTCCTTGCCAAAAGGATCATGTATGGACTCTCCGCTTTCAACAATACCCACACATGCGGCTGACGATGCTCTCAGATATCAATCACCTTCGAATTCTCCGAGTGATGCCGGCGGCACCGGCCTCCCCGAAGACTTCCACGACAGACGAAGATGCCTGCCGCTCAGCACACAACCCATCTCAATCTTGGCGATCTCTTCAAGCCAGTGCCGCCATCACCATCACGAGTCCGTATCAGAACCAATACCACGCCACGCCGTACTGAACTCCTTCCTCCGCAGACTGCAACAGAAGGCCTTGTGGTCTTGGCTGCCTCAGCGAGAGACGCCGTTATGGTGCCACAGTCCGGCCTAAAAAAGTACTTCACGTGTGGTTTCAGCCCTCAGATTCAGCCCGGAGCCCGTCTCCTTCACGACAACAATACTCCGGCTCCCTTCCAGGCCCGACTGAGCCACAATCGTCTGATTCTTGGGGCTCGCGGAAGCCAGCGTCAATACTTGCTGCTCGGCCCAGGTGGGAACCAGTGTCTTCTTCCTCGCTACTCGTGCTAGCTGGCGACCACAGCTTCATTCAACATTCTCTTTGACGACAGCTCAGGGATTTGGAATCACCTTGACTTCACCTCCGAGCCCAAACCCAACTTCAAGAGCTGAGTGGATGGCGCCATGTCAAAGAGGCGTCACTAGACTCTTTATTAGATTGTTCACCACGCGAGACATTGTTTTAGCGGACGGAGCACAAAACGCATCAAGATATATTGTCCGCCTCCGTGTACTCCTGAAACTTCGCTTATGGCCGCTAAAGTCTGGACTCCTTTAGACGATGCGGGCGCCTCTTTCTGCGCCTCGCCGAGGTTCCTGGCAGGCAAATGTGGGATCAGATGTCGAGAGATATGCCAGAATCTTTCGTGCGACCAAGGTACAATCCAACCCGTCCCTACTAGATCGCTTTTTCTTTCACCCAATATCCAGCCACAGACGTGATGGGCGCATCCTTAACCGCTCTGTTGGGAGTATTGCCATGCTGCTTTGCGCTAACCGTTCGGTCTGTGGCGGGAGCTAGCCATCGATTACTGATAGGGCTATGAGGTGCTGCCCGAGATCCAAAGAGATCAAGAGAAGTCATCTGTGGATTTTGAGGGCTCGGAAAAATCTGAGAGACAAGCACGGAAGGAGAATTGTCGTGAGATGATACCCGTCTTAGACTATCCAGATCTGCCCCTCCAAGGTCTTTGATCCTGCCTCATCAACCGCACGCAGCTTTCGTACGCTGCACAATGCACATGCAGGTACTGTTCTGATTCTGTACGTTGCGGCACTTTGCCTGCCGCGAAGCAATCCACTAGCTCTCCTTTATTTGCGTCAGGTTATGTCGATTGCCGGCCAAGCCCAACTGTATTGGGAGGCTGAGCTAAATTTGAAAGACTCCAAGACATCCCGCCAAGGGTCCCTTTCTACATGAAGCGAGGGACGAGAAACGAGAAGGTGGGGCCGTTGCCATGGCATGTTTTCCTATTGTTTGGCAGAAAAAGGGGCAAGCCACTCGCTTCCTTCGCATGCTACGCCAGCTACAAGTGACCGGTCAGCAAGGGTACAGCAGCGAAAAGTCTTCAGAAAAAACGCCATCCAGGCCTTATGCTGTCGTTCTCCTGACATTCAACGCTTCTGCAGTCTGCACCATGGGACGGCGGGAGGCGGCCAAAGAGCGAGAGTCTGTGTGACGACACCAATCTTGGACATGGGAGACCGGTCGAATTCCCAGCTGCTGTCTCAGTCCTATGCAGTAAGTCCATGTCAAGACACCGGAGAAGTTGGGCTCTGCCGAATCTCTCGCGATATCCCGCGACTGACCATTGAGAACAGAACAGCGACATCATGGCTGTTTCATCATCGATGCGTCATGCGAGTCGGGCCCCTCGGCGGCGTCCTCCTTTCGACTTAACAGCCCTTCGGATTCCAAAATCCGTTAGGTTACGGACGTAGCTTGAGAGCAAAAGCGACCGTTGAATCATCACGACACCATCACGAACCCCGTGCCATTGCCGCTCTCTTCCGAACACGATGCAAACCGCCGAATCGAGGGCCTGGGAGGCCGCGCCGTATAGGGACGCTGTAATCGCCCAAAGCATTTCTATAGCCAAGTTATTTTCGGGAGGGCGTCCGCGTTGGGATGAGGATACCGTCATACTCTTCTGGTCAAACAAGATGTGGATGTTGAAGAACATTCAAGTACTGTTTCAGATATCGCTGACTGATAGTGAACAATCGCAGTATCTAGTCATCAAGCTCAAGCCCCCGGTGTATCAAAGAGAGCACAGAAGTCGACGTACCGGGCACCTGGCTCCCTGAAAGAGGCACCACCATAGCTGTCTCAGAGCTTGTACAACCATCATCGAGAGTTTAGCCCAACTACATTCACAGACCCACGTTTCTCCCATGCCTTACACTCGTCCATCGTTCACCGAGGCACCCACGTGCTTCGCCGAGCTGTTGACCGTAACGGCGCTTGCTTGGCAGGAAAATGGCACCACACCTTGGAGAATGGCTTTCTAATTATCGGCCTGATTAGGAAGTCTGCGATGTACACAGCGACCAGTACTTCCGGATTCTGCTCCAGGGTTCACTTGGTTTGTGCTGCCCCACGGAGCTTCAGGGAGAGACCGAATCGGCATCGAGCCGAATATATGGGACGATGGAGCGGACGAGACATGCCAGTTAGATGTATAGGGGAGGATAGAGATAAACAGGAACAGAGGAAGAGAAAGATATAAGGAGATGGCAAGGTGCATCTCAAGTGAACGGAAGGGGATAGTTAACGACAGCATCTTACCTTTCGAAGTTTATCACTACTCCGGCGGCCAGTCAAACGACGACCAGACACTGAATAGACACTCTTGAGAGAAACATTCATCTACAACCCACCCTCAAGATAACTAACAGAAAGACCTGCCCGAGCCGTAAGCTCATTCCACAACATCCTGTAAGTTCCTGTCTGTAAGTTCCTCTGCGTCATCAAAGGTGACTGAAGGAAAAGCTAACATGGCCTTCCTTCTGAGACAAACAGACGCAGATCAAGAACGGCGAGTTACAGCTGTCTTTCAGTCGAACTTTGGAAACAGACAAGAGGAGAACCATTCTAGTCACATCAAACGTTCCTGGACACGACAATAAACCAACATCGGACTACTTTGACAGGTGACAGATCGGTCTTTCGGCCACGCAAAGTCAAGACTTTACTGCAGCAAAGAACAGTATACAGAGGACGACCCGACCTCAAAGAGAAGAAACAACACAAACGGACAAGATGTGCACCTACCATTACCTTCACCACCACCACATTCCCCCTTGCTCCAAGGACCTTTACTTTGTGATTCACTACCTCTTCTGCTCCGACGCGACCATCGACCTCAACACCGGCAATCGTCAGCCATGCAACAACGCCATCTACGATGACTCCCACCTTGCATCAACAGCCATGTCTGCCTCCATGTCCATGTCCAACAGCATGTCAACACTCTCCACATCCCCCGCCTCTTCTCAGTCTTCAGCATCAACGTCCTACTACTCCAATGACGGCACCTCCTTCCCCGTAGACTACAACTCCCTCTACTCTTCTACCACCTCTCTCAACCTGAGCCAGCAACAACTACCACAAACAATGGACTTCAACAACCCCTGCGCATCCTCCACCTGCCTCACCAGTCTTGAGTGTTCGTCAGGGCAATGCAGACTCGAGCAGTTAGGTGGCAAATGGACGTGTTGCAGGTGCGGAGGCAAAGGAAATGAATATGCGTGGTGCAAAGCCCGGCCAGGGCTGGTGAGGGGGGCGGATCCGGATATGGTTTGTTATCATGTTGTTTGTGGGGGGTGCAGGGCGACAGGGAGCTCGGGGAAGGGGAAGGGGAGGCGATAGATTGAGGGTTTAGGAAAGATGCGGTTTGAGGTGTATTGGAGTGGGTGAAGGGAGTGATGAGCGAAATCGTTACTTGCCAGCGGAAAGGTCTATACTGTTGCTGTTTAGTGGAGACTGGAAGCCTAAGATGGTTGGGATAAAAGAGAGAGCATCGAAGCAATAAGGGCGGCTGGCGGACACGGTTGAATGGGCAGGGTCAGGAAAATTTCAACCCGTATCACGCATAGGAGTGACTCGAAGAAAGCAAAGGCAAGTGAAGGAAAGTATTGAACCGAGGGGAAAGAAGTTGGTGATTTAAGGGAGGAAAACGGACGAATAAAGGGTTTAAAATGCGCGTGGATCGTGCTGGAGGAGTTTTGGGCACGAAACCCGCTCGTCGTGGGGATATGTGGCAAAGAGAACAGGACAAACAGCGCAGATTTCTTTGAAGCAGAACCACCAGTGAGTCGGGGACGGGAGTTATAGCGAGACTTGCAATGCGCGGTGGCGCACACCTTTGTTTAGCCTGCTTGTGGTGTGGCTGGAGCTGGGCGGCGTTTGGGGAGGAACAGGAACTTGGCCGGTGTGGATGCATTGGAGGTTAGGACACTTAAGAGCAAGATGGTCAGTACTAGCCTTCATTTTTCGTTCACGGTAAACATATTCTTCTAACTTTTCCTTGTTTCTTGTCCGGTCTATATAGCAACATGGGTTT